ATTACAATGGAAGCTCTATGAGGTGTGGAATATTAACTAACGTATTCTCCATTATAATTCCAGCATCCATGCACACAGAGTTGCTCTGTGAATATTTGTTTAATAAATACAGGTGGAAAAGGAGAGAAGGCTGATTGAGGAAGCCCTGAGGAGATAAGAGGGGGTCTAAAGCACAGTGAAAGAATTGGCCATGAGCTGGAGGAGGGCATGTCTTCCTCTGTCAACAGAGGCAAGGAGGAGAGTTCGGAGGTCTATGTATGAGATGTGTCCGTGAGGTGCAGGGATGTGCGGCAAGGGCAGAAAGTTAAAGGATTTCATGGGTGATGGAAATGGTCATCTGCTGACAGCTCAGATGGAAGTGTCAGAGGTTGGGTAAAGGGTTTGAGGAGAATGGCAGAGAGTTAGAACAGTTGCTGAGGGGAATGGGAGAAGAGACTCGCCAACATTTTGAGACTACCACGTGCCAGGTACCTTGTTGAGTGTTGAGGTTATGGAGATGAGGAGGATGTGACGCAGTCTTTGCCTTTCAGGAATTCACAATGCAAAGAACAGAGATGTTCTCCAAGAAGTTAAAACGCAGGGTGTTCTGTCCTGAAATGGATGGAGTGTTACAGACATGATGGGGGAGGAGATTCAGTTCTGAGAGTGGGGAACAAACAGAGGCTGTGACCTTTGAGGCTGGTCTTGAAGAAAGACTGTGTACAGGCAGAAGTCAGTAAGTGTGTCTCACAGAGAGGAGAGAACCATCTAAAAATATGGTGGTGTCGCCCAGCTGGCGGGGCAAAAATAGAAAAAAAAATGTAATTTTTACATTTTATGGACCTATGAACCAGGAGGTCACATTCCCGGGTTGTGGGCTCAGTCCACAAAGGGGGGGTGTGCTGGAGGTAGCCGATCAATGATTCTCTCTCATCACTGATCTCTCTCTCTCTCTCTCCCCCCCACCCCTCTCCCTTCTTCTCTGAAATCAATACAAATATATTTAAAAAATAAAATATGGTGGAATAGTTAGAACTGAAAAACATTTATGTGGCTGGGGTGAAAAGTGATGCTGGAAAGGAGGATTGAGGCTAGGTTGTAAGGATCTAATATGTACCAGAAATGAGAACTTTCCCCAAAGTTAACAGAGGTCTGAGGTAGAGTAGCAGGATCGTGGATGATGAGCTGAAGGGAAGAGAAACTGGAGTCGGTGAGAAGGGTTAGGAGACAGCTGCAATAGTCCTGATGAGAGAGGAGAGGCTGAGGTCATCAGAAGCGGCAGGCATGGAGAGGGGAGAAAGGCTTCCAAAGACAGTTCTGCTGTTGGGTGAGATGTGGCAGGGGAGGGGAGATGTGCCAAGGCTGGCAGGGTTCTTACCTGGGAGACTGTTTGGATGGCAATACTGTCACCTGAGGTGAAGGTACGTTAACAGGAGTATATATTAAGGAAAAGTAATAAACTCATTTTAAAAAATTGTAATAAAAAATAAAAATTATGGTTAAATTATATATAACATACAATTTACCATTTTAACCATTTAAAATAGTATAATTTAATGGCATTAGGTACATTTAGAATGTTGTGCAATCATTACCTCTATTTAGTTCCATTACATACAATTCCTCACCTGATTATATGCTTATTGATTATAGAGGGGGGAATGGAGAGAGAGAGAGAGAAAGAGAGAGAAAAGGTTAGTTGTCTTCCACATGTGCTCCAACCAGGAATTAAACTCACAACCTAGGTATGTGCCCTGATCAGAATTGGAATCTATGGAGAGCGTGCAGGAGGAAACCAATCTTATGTGTCTCTCTCACATCGATGTTTCTCTCTCTCTCTCTCTCTCTCTCTCTCTCCTTATGTCCCTTCCACTCTCTCTAAAAAACTCAATGGAAACAATATCCTTGGGTGAGAATTAACCAAAAAATCTATTTTTCAATTATAGTTGGCATACAATATTATTGGTTGCAGGCCTGTAACATAGTGATTAAACATTTATACCTAGTTTCTAACTATTATTAAAAAACTGTTTTTTCCTCTCTTCAACTTTTTTCCTATTTTTGCTTCATATATTTTGGGGTTCTATCGTTAAGTATGTATAATGCTTATAATTTTTTAAAATATATTTTATTGATTTTTTTACAGAGTGGAAGAGAGAGGGATAGAGAGTTAGAAACATCGATGAGAGATAATCATAGATCAGCTGCCTCTTGCACACCCCCCACTGGGGATGTGACCGCAACCAAGGTACATGCCCTTGACCGGAGTCGAACCCGGGACCCTTCAGAATGCAGGCCTACGCTATATCCACTGAGTCAAACCGGTTTCGGCTAATGCTTATAATTTTAATATTTTCATGAGAATTGACCCTTTCATCAATATATAATTCCTTCTGCTGAAACCGATTTGGCTCAGTGGATAGAGCATCGGCCTGTGGACTGAAAAGTCCCAGGTTCAATTCCGGTCAAGGGCATGTACTTTGGTTGCAGGCACATCCCCAGTAGGGGGTGTGCAGGAGGCAGTTGATTGATGTTTCTCTCTCATGGATGTTTCTAACTCTCTATCCCTCACCCTTCCTCTCTGTAAAAAATCAATAAAGTATATTTAAATATATATATATATATATATATATATATATATATATTTCCTTCTTTGTCTCTTGAAATAATTTTTGACTCAAAGTTTATTTTGTCTGATATTAGCATAAACCACCCCACTTCTCTTTTGGTTACTATTTGCATAGAATATCTTTTTTTTCTATCCTTTTACTTTCAACCTCTTTGTGCCTTTGGATCTAAAATCTCTTGTGAACAGCATATAATGTTTTCTTTTTCAAATCCATTTACGTTTTATGTAATTACTGATAAAGAAGGACTTACTTCTGCTATTTGTTTTGTTTTGTTTTTCCATCTGTCCTATCCTCATTCCTCCAATATTTATTTAAATTTTTTTTAGAAATGTACCATTTAAAAAATATTTTGTAAATCCTCACCTGAGGACGTTGTTTCATTAACTTTTAGAGAGTAGAAGGGGAAGAAAAATCGATGTGAGAGAGACACATATATTAGTTGCCTCCCACACAGGGGATTGAACCTGAAACTGAGGTATGTGCCTTGGATCAGAATTGAACCTGGACCCTTCAGTCCATGGGCCAACACTCTGTCCACTGAGCCAAACTGGCTAGAGCAATATTATACCATTTTGACTCCCTTTTCATTTTTCTGTATATTTTATCATTATTTTCTGATGGTTACCTTTAGAATTATAATTATCATTTCAAAATAATAACAATCTATTTTTAATTAACACCAACTTGTCTTCAATACTACACAAAAACTCTGTTCCTATACAGCATTGTCCCTCCCCTTTTATATTGTTATTGTCACAAATTATATATTTATACATTGTGTGTTTATTAAAATAGATCTACAATTATTGTTTTTTGCATTTGTCTTTTAAATCCTATAGGAAAAGGAATTACAAAATCTAAAATACATTACTGACTTTTGTATTTTACCTATGTAGTTACCTTTGTAAGTATTCTTATTTTCTTCATAAATTTCAAGTAAAAGTGCCCCTTTACTTAAGCCTGAATGACTCCCTTTAGCATTTCTTGTAGGGCAAGTCTACTAGTAATAAACTCTCTCAGCTTTTGTTTATGTGGGAGTTTTAATTTCTCCTTTATTATTGGACAATTTTGCGAGATATAGAATTTTTGGTTGACAAGAGTTTTCTTTCTGCACTTAAGTATGTTATCCCACTGATTTCTAACCCCTGTGACTTCTGATGAAATATTGACATTTTTCTTATTGAAAAATCCCTTGTACATTACAAGTTACTTCTTTTTTGCTGCTTTCCAGATTTTCTGTTTAGTTTTGGGTCCTGACAGTTTGTTTATAATGTGTCAGTGTGGGTCTCTGAATTTATCTACTTGGAGTTTATACTATTTGAAGTTTGATGAGCTTCTTGTAATGTACGTTTACTCCTTTTTTTAAAAAAATTGATTCAGAGAGGAAGGGAGAGGAAGAGAGAGAGAAAACATCAATGATAAGAGAGAATCATCACTTGGCTGTTGTGCCCTTTGATGCACAGTTTTAAATTTTGATGTAGTGCAGTTTATCTATTTTATCCTTTTGTTGCCTGTGTGTTTTTGGTGTCATATCCAAGAAATCATTGCCAAATCCAATGTCATAAAGGTTTCCCATATGTTTTCTTCTAAAAGATTAATAGTTTCAGCTCTTACATTTAGTTTTTGCATGAATTTTGAAATAGCTTTTGTATATGTTGTAAAAGTAAGGGTTTAAACTTCATTTTTTTGTACACGGATATCCAGTTTTCCCAACACCATTTGTTGAATAAGACTATTTCCCCCCCCCCCACATAATGGCACCATTGTAAAATGTCAATTGACAGTATCTGGGAGGATATTGTGCTCTAAACCTGTGGAGGTGATGATGTACAGCCACAGGAAGCCTCAGGAAAGCTGAATGCCAGATTCTGTTGCAGCAGAGTCTGTCCTGGGCTGGCTTTGTGCTCAGTGAACACTGGGCTCGTGTTTTACCGATGTCTCAGCTTCCCACCCACCCAACCACTGAGGTGTGCAGAAAGGTCCTCTTGAAGAGGATAAACTCAGTCCCCAGAAAAGCTTGGTTTGTGCAGCGGCAGAGTCAGGGTTTGAACACAGGTTCCTGGCTCTCTGCGCCCGTTATTTCACCTAAGACGGACCTCGGCAGTCCTTAACTATAAAGTGTGGGCAGGACTGAGGTGAAACGGTATCCATGGCAGCTTGTAGGACCCTTACATGAGGAGTCACTAAAAGCCAGGGCCAACCAGACGTAAAGGGGGCAAATACAGCTATCAAGCTGCAGAGAATGAACCCTGCCCGCCCGGAAGGCTCGCGTCCCAGGCCCGCCCCACCCCGGGGCGGAGCCAAGTCCTCCGGGGCCTGGGCGTGGTTGGGCTGTGCCACTGGAGCGGGGGGGATCCGAGCGGCAGGAAAACGCAGGCGGCCGGAACCGCGATGGCGTGCCCTGACGACCCCCGCGGAATGGGGCTTAGAGTTCTAATAATGCCTTCAGAGCTCGTCCCCTCGCCGCTTTCCCGTCGCCCACCTCCCGCGGGGTTGGTTCCTCCCCTTCGCCCCCTCACTGCAGTTCCTCTTGGTACAGCCCTCCCCGGATTGGAGGCGAGGCGCGGCCGGCGCGCGCCCTGCGCATGCGGACCCCGCCGCGGGGGCTGGGGGCGCGGACCCCGCCCTTCCACGGCTCCACGCGTGACGTCGCGGGGGGCGCGGGCCTCCGCCGGCTCGGAGCGGTGAGAGCGGGCGGCGGGCGGCCCGGCGCTGCTAGACCCGGAAGGGGTGCCGTGCAGAGTTCCTGCAGGGGCGCTGGGGAAGGGGAGGCCCGGGCACCGTCAGCCCCGACCCGCAGGCTGCCCTCTCCTTCCTGCTTCCCCCGCTTTCCAACGAGCCGGGAGGGAGGCGGGGCCGGGGCGAGCACTGTGACCCCGGCGTTTGCCCGGCGCGCTCCTCCCTCCCCGCAGCCCCTTTCCAGATGTTCCTCTGCACCAGGCGGTCGCTTCTCGCCTGGGAAAGAGCACTCCTTGGGCTTCCGACCTGTGCCACACGGTTCCTATGTTCAAGTCCACCAGCCTCAGTTTCTGCCTTGCCTCGCTTGCCTTTTGTGAAGATAAATATGACACAGAAAGAAAAAAAAATAGGAAAGAAATGGACATTTGTTGAGTTCCTGCATGGCCAAGTATAAAGCAAACCGCTTTATCTGCCACGTTTAATCCTGGTTACATGGGTCAGAGCTCCCATTTCACATGTTCTCAAACTCCCCAAGTTAGGCTGGTTTTTCTCACACAGCCACGGAAGGGCAGAGGAGGATGCAAGCTGAGCAGTTTTAACTCCAAAATGGGTTTCTTTTCGCCAGAGACGTCCTTTGGGCTACTATTGGCTGTTCTGCAGCCAAACCCTAGGCCCAGAGCAGCTGTTTCCTGAATTTCTACTTTTAAGAATTCCCCTTCTCGGGTTCCCTTTTCCAGCACAGTATGCCCTCCACTTCCGCCTTGATTATTTCAGAAATGGAAATGCAGCAGACATTTGTTGCGTAGCGCAGGGAGGTGGACACTCAGAGTCAAGAGCCTTAGATTCTCGTCCTGGCTCTGCCTCTGTCTGTGGCCCTTGTCTCCTTGGTGCTTTAGCTGCCCTTTGAGTAAAGATGGGTAAGTGCCTTCTGACGGGCAGGCTCTGGTCCAGTTTTCCCTTCCTGTCCTCCAGCAGGTTTTCCGTGGAGGCCCAGACCCCTCTGCTCCCCATGGGCAGCTGTCAGGCAGGGCACAACCTGCATCTCTGTCTGGCCCACCACCCACCTCTGGTCTGTGCCACTTTGATCCTGCTACTTCTTGGCCTTTCTGGCCTGGGCCTCGGTGGCTTCCTCCTCACTCACAGGACTGGCCTGCGCAGCCCTGACATCCCTCAGGTGAGTACCCTCCTGCTCATCTGCCCCAGGGAGGCCTGCTCTTGCTGCTAACCTCTCACCTCTCTCCCGCCTTCCTTTTGCACACAGGACTGGGTCTCCTTCTTGAGGTCTTTTGGCCAGTTGACCCTGTGCCCTACAACCGCGACAGTCACAGGGACGTGGCATGGGTCCCACGTTGTGGGCTTGCTGACCACCTTGAACTTCGGAGATGGTCCGGACAGGAACAAGACCCAGACATTTCAAGCCACGGTCCGGGGTAGTCAGATGGGATTGAAAGGTGAGATGGAGGACTGTGGGGGTTGGGTCTGAGAACACTCAGGGTGGGGCGTGCCTCTGAACTCGCCAGCCTGGTGACCTTCGGCCCATCCCTTAGTCACTTCTACTGGAATCAGGACTAGGTACTTAGAGTGAAAACCATGCCCACTGTGTAGGTTCTCCATAAATGTTTTTTCTCTCCTCTTAACTCTGGGATGCTTTGATCCTATCCTTGGAGGTGTGATGAGATGGGCTGAATGTGGCCTAATGTTCTTTGTCCTCCCTCTTCATTCCTCCAGCCTTCTCATAGAGGCAGCTCTTTCCTCAAGGATGTCCAGGAAGCACGATCTGTTCAGTGGACTAATGTCTTTAGTGCCTGCTGTGTGGGTAACACAGCTCTATGTGCTCTGGAGGATACAGAAAAAAATTAGACATCACCCAAAGCACTTAAAGTCGTCTGGGAAAATAGTGAGTGAGAGTGAGTTGGTGGGTTCCATTGATTCCTGTGTGAGATTTGGCCTCAGGTTCCTTATCTAAAAACTTGGGAGATGGCCCGCCTGGTGTGGCTCAGTGGTTGAGTGTCGACCTATGAGCCAGGAGGTCACAGTTCATCACACCTCACATCGACCAGTTCCCCATCTGGGTCGGGGCACATGCTCAGGCTGCCGGTTTGATTCCCCAGTAGAGGGTATGCAGGAGGCAGCCAATCAGTGATTCTCTCTCATCATTGACAGTTCTGTTTCTCTCTTTTCCTTCCTCTCTGAAATCAATAGAAATATATTTAAAAATAAATAAATAAAATAGAAAATTGGTCGATGTGTTTCTCTCACATCGATATTTCTGTCTTTCCCTCTTCTACTCTCTCTAAAAATCAATGGGGGGTGGGCGGGGAAATATCCCTGGGTGAGGATTAAAATAAATAAATAGTGACTTCTGAGGTCCTTTTCAAAACTATGATTCTAAGATTCTCCTATGAATCACATATGTGTATATAAGTGGGGTAGGTCTTTATATGTCTCCGTATACATCTGTGTGATCAAAGAGCAAGAATAAAGGGATGTATCTGACACAGAATAGTATTATTGAGAAATGATTCACATGCCATAAAATTCATTTCAAATGTACAATTAAATGATTTTACACATATTCACAAAAGTGTGCAGCCATCATCACAATTTTAGAACATTTTCATTACCAGATAAATTCTGTACCTATTAGCAGCCACTCTCCTTTTCCTCCTAACCTCCCAACCCGAGGAACCACTAATCTGCTTACTGTCTGTAGATTTGCTTACTCTGGACATTTCATATAATAATGGTCTTTGTGACTGGCTTCTTTCACTTGGCATTTTGTTGTAGTACATATCAGTATTTATTTCCTCTATCAGTATTCACTGTATGACTAGTACACATTTTATTTGTGCACTCATCATTTAATTGACATTTGGGTTGTTTCCACTTGACTTATGAATAATGCTGCTGTGAACAGTCATGTACAAGTTTCTGTGTGATCATATATTTTTATTTCTCTTGGGTGTATAACCAGGAGTGGAATTGCTGGGTCATATGGTAACTCTGTTTAATCTTTTGAGGAACTGCCAGAGTATTTTCACAGTGGCTCTGCCATTTTATACTCCATCAGCTATGTATGATGGTTCCATTTCTCCACATCTTTTCAACACTTGCTATTTTCTGTCTTTTTTATTATAGCTCTCCTATGTGAAGTAGTGTCTCGCTGTAATTCTGATTTGGATTTTCCTGGTGGCTAATGATATTGAGAATTTTTTCATGTGTTTATTGGCCATTGGCATATTTTTTGAGAAATATATATTCAGAGTCTGTGGTCATTTTTAAAATTGGGTAATTTGTCTTTTAATTTAGTTGTAAGCTTTCTTTATATAAATAACTTTCAGTGTGTGCAGTGGGAGTAATCAGAAGTCTGTCGAGCATGGATGGTGAAGACAGGCTTTTCCAAGAACACAGTGCCTGAGCTGAGGTTGAGGCAGGCCGATAAGGATGTCCTTCCAGCCAGAGGGAAGAGCATATGCAAAGACATACAGATGGGGGACCATGATGGCACGTTCAGAAGTTTCCAAGGGTTCAGTTTGGCTGGCACAGGGGAAGGATTACTGAGTGTGTGGCAGGTAATGAGCCTGAAGCAGCATTCAGAATCCATGGAGGGGTTCATGTGCCAAGCCAACGCATTTGGGCTTTATTTAGTACATTGGGCAAACTCAACGATTTTAATCAGGAAAAGAAGACTTTGTTTTTGTGTTGTCCTTTTAAAAAGATAATACTTGTTGGCTGACTGCCAGGAAGGAATGTGGATTCAGGAAAACTAGTTGGGAAGTGATTGCAATAAAAAGATGAGAAAAACTGAGCTAAGACAGTGCTGTGAAAGAAGGGTGCTGATTTGAGGGAGATGTTAGAAGTGTGAGATTGACAGGACTGGGTGACTGAACTGGGGAACACGGAAGAAGGGGGAGTTCCCTTATAGAATTTTACATGTACATTTCTCAATTGTAATTACAATATATATACTGGTTTAATTTTTTTAAATATTTATTTTATTTTTACAGAGAAGAAGGGAGAGTGATAGAAAATTTGATGAGAGAGAAACATCAATCAGCTGCCTCCTGCACGCCTCTTACTGAGAATGTGCTCTCAACCAAGGTACATGCCCTTGACAGGAATCAAACCCGGGATCTTTCAATCCGCAGGCTGACGCTCTATCCACTGAGCCAAACTGGCTACGGCATCATTTTTACCAATTTAATGAGCAAAGAAATTACTTTTTTAAATTTACTTTGTCCTGATTAATAGTGAGGTTGCATATCTTCTTACAAGTTCACCATTTTCATGTTTTCTCTGAACTTCCTATTCACTTTCTTTGCTTATTTTTTGTTGTCTTTATCTTCTTGATTTTTAAGTCTTTATATATTCTGGATAGTAAACTTTTTGCCAATTAAATCTATTATAGGTATTTTAACCAGTCTGTTTCTTGTGTATGTTTTTAAAAAAATATTTTTATTGATTTCAGAGAGGAAGAGAGAAAGATGGAAACATCAATAAGTGAGAATCATTGACTGGCTGCCTCCTGCACACTCCCTGCAGAGGATGGAGCCCACAACCAGTGCATGTGCCCTTGACTGGAATTGAACCTGGGACCTTTCAGTCTGCAGGCCCATGGGTAAGGATAACACGCAAATTTGTGAAGTGTTATCAGTTGTCCACTGAGCCAAACCAGCTAGGGCTCGTGTGTGTGTGTGTGTGTGTGTGTGTGTGTGTGTGTTTTAATATGGAACACTTCACAAATTTGCGTGTTATCCTCACCCAGGGGCCATACTAATCTTCTCTGTATCTTTCCAATTTTAGGATATGTGCTGCCAAGCAAGCACTCTTGTGTGTGTGTGTGTGTTTTAAACTTACCTTTCATTATATAGAAGTCTTCAATTTGTTAGGAGGTTAAGTTTATTGCTCTTGTTCTTTACTCAGGCTTTTATTTTTTTATTTTAAAAAATATATTTTATTGATTTTTTTACAGAGAGGGAGAGAAAATTAGAAACATCGATGAGAGAGAAACATCAATCAGTTGCCTTGCACACACCCCACCCTGGGGATGTGCCTGCAACCAAGGCATATACCCCTGGCTGAAATTAGACCTTGGACCCTTGAGTCCGCAGGCTGACGCTCTATCCACTGAGCAAAACCAGTCAGGGCTTTCCCAGGCTTTTAGATTTTGTGACATTTTTAGCAAGGGTTTCCCAACTTTAAAATTAGAAAATATTCTCCCTTTTTTTTTTTTTTTTTTAATACTTAGGTTTTTGTTTCATTTTAATTAGTTTGTTTGTTTAGGTATTTAATATATCTGGACTTAATTTTATAGTGTGAGATAAGAGTCTAACCTTTTTTCACAAATGGATTTGTCCCAAAGCCATTGACTAAATAGGCTATTTTCCCACTAATTTGAAATGGGATGTGAAGCTTTTCTGTTGTGTTGTTAGTCTTTACCTGAGGATATTTTTTCCAATGATTTTTAGAACGACTGGAATGGGTTTGGGGGAGAAACATCAATGTGAGAGAGACACATGGATTGGTTGCCTCCTGCACATACCCCAACCGGGGCTGGGGAATCAAACCTGCAGCCCAGGTATGTACCCTTGACTGGGAATCGATCCCATGACTCTTGTATGTGGGCCCACGCTCTCACCACTGAGAAACACAAGGCAGGGGGGATGTGAACCTTAATGGATTTTCATACCAAGTGGAAATAGCTTTCTTAAAAAAGGATGAACTAGTTTATATGAACTGACATTGACAATCTGTATCTCTCCCAGGTTCACTGCTACCTCGTAAATACTGATGTGTTTGTTTTGTTTGTAAGCTAATTTAAATTAATTTTTATTTATATTAGTACTTAGTTATTTTCATTTTTAAATTATGTAAATGATGGTGTATAGAGTACTTTACTGACTAGAACCAGTGCTAACACACCTGGAACTGTAGGAAGCCTTTGAAATGAACAGAAGTCTGAAAAGGGATGGTTCCCACCTGACCCTTCATGTTCTTCCATCTCCTCTCCCATGCTTCTCTTAGGATCTTCTGCAGGAGAGCTGGTCCTCATCACAGCCAGGGTGACCACAGAAAGGACCTGCCTGTATTTTAGTGCCGCCCCAGGACTCCTGCCCTCCAGCCAGCCACCCATCTCCTGCTCAGAGGAAGGAGTAGGAAATGCCACCCTGAGCCCTAGGATGGGTGAGGACTGTGTTGGGGTCTGGAGCCAGGAAGGCCTTGTGCTCACCAAACTGCTCACCTCGGTAAGAGCTTCAGATTGTCAGGGTTTCATAGACTTCCATGCTGCGCACTATATCCTGAAGGCAAATTTTTCATTTTATTTTATTTTATTTTTATTTTTGTAGAGAGAGAAAGGGAGAGAGAGAGACACGTGAGATACATCGATTGGTTGCCTCCTGTACGGGTCCCAATCAGGATCAAACTTGAACCTGCGATCTTCTGGTGCAAGGGAGAATGTTCCAACTAACTGAGCCACACCAGCCAGGGCTTGAAGGCATTTTGCTTAGTAGGCTTTGTAATACTGGCTGGGAGGCTGTGCCCTTGAACAAGCACCCAAGTCTCTCTGAGCCTCAGCTTCTCATCTGTAAAATGGAAAGCATGATACTGTTGCCTAATTCCAACAAATAAATGAGAATGAGTGTAAAGTACTTAGTACAGTGTCTGGTACATAATAGAAATTTGATAAATGACAGATATTACTATTGACTATGTCTTTAAATAACGATAAAACATGACCTCTACCTCAAAGGAATTCAGAAGCTGGACAAGAGGCAGAATAAACTAATTGTTAGCATAGAGAGATGAGTGAAGTATTATTCAACAGATTAAGGAGCAGTTGACTCTAACTTGAACATTTTTAGAGAGTGTTTCACGGAGATGGTGGCATTTAAGAAAGGTACAGTAGTTTATAACATACAAAGTGCTTTCAGATTCATTGTCTCACTTAAAATATCCTTTTGAGGCAGCTGTTATCCCACTTTACAGATGAGGAAACAGGTTCAGAGAGAGGGAATAAATTGCCCAAGGCCGCACAACTACTTAAACAGCAGATGCAGGATTTCAACCCAGGCTTGTTCTGCCCTGTCAGAGTGATTGATCCCTGAAGAATGAGGAATATTTGGGCAGATAATGCACTAGAGGGGGTTCAAGAAAAAGAAATACATTCCAGGCATAAGGGACCAGCATGAGCTCGGGCCTAGAGACTGAAAAGTGATGGGGGAAGAGGCAGGAGAGATGCAGGAGCCTGACTGTGAGGCACTGCAGTGCCGGGCTAGGATGCTGTGACCTGGCACTGCAGGCCATGGGGCCCCCGGTGCTGATGGAGGAGACTGGCCGAGTGCAGGAGAGACAGTGAGGAGGCTGCCGCATGCTCTTCCCTCACATTTGCAGATACCCTGGCCAGGAGCATCACCTGGCAGCTTGGAATCAGAGATCTTGGTTTCCAGACCTGGCCCTGCTTGCATGTTTTTAAAATGTGGATAATAGTGAAATCTCATAGAGTCATTATCAGGGAGTTCAATGTTGGGCAAGAAAGCAGTTTGAAGACCATGCATACAATTAGCTTGTATAGAAATAACATTTCCCTTTAGTTGCTCCCTGGATGTGGAGAGGTCTTTTCTCCATGGATGCTTCTCTCCATAGCCTTGGGCTGGGGGTGAGATGTCTTCCTAAGGGAAGATTCTCTATCTTCCCTCTGTCTCATTCATTTCTCCTTTCCTCCCTGTGCCCACCCCTAGGAGGAGCTGGCTCTGTGTGGCTCCAGGCTGCTTGTGTTGGGCTCCTTCCTGCTTCTCTTCTGTGGCCTTCTTTGCCTTTTGACTGCTGTGTGTTTCCACCCTCGGCGGGAGTCCTACTGGTCTAGAACCCGGCTCTGAGAGCACGGTCTGGTTCCTGTCTTGTTCTCAGGTAAGTTTCTTTGCCCCAGTCCTGTGAGAATAGGGGGTGGGGAGGGAGTGGAAATTGTAACTGAGATAGAGTCATTCCTAAACAATATGATTTGGTTTTACTTATTTTTGAACTTTATAGACATGGGATCCTACATATTCTTCTGTGACTTCTTTCTATTAACAGTTCAATAATAAGATTCACCCATAGATCTGGCTCACATCCAAGAAGCTTTTTGGTAACAATGGTGAATTAAGAGGGTTCAGATATGATGATATGTCCTGGATATGAATAATGTTTGTTTTGCTTTTGGGCTGAAATTCTGATATCCAGTTTTATGACTCAAATTTTGTAAAAGTCATCCTGAACAGCTCACAAGAATTGATTGATGATGTCTGTTACTAGGCACATACCATGTGCCCGTGCACTTTCTCTTTTCCATTAGCCGTCATTGCCTTTAGAGAAAGTTGATTCTGCTAACAGAAACTTTGGAAGGGCACAGCCCCACAAAAGTAGCAGTGAGTGGGAAACATATTGGCTAACTAGTTTGTGTATCAGCTCATTGAGGGGGGAAAATATTTCTGAAAAATATTCTCACCCTGGTAAGTGGTTCTCATACAATTTGAGAGTCATACATTCTGTATCCAGTTCTTAAACTGCTCTCGGCTTCAGCTAGCTGCAAGGACATAACCGTGGGAATAGTAGAAACAGCGTAAGCAAAGGGAAGGGCCAGAGAAACGGAACATTCAAGATCAACTTAGCTTATTTTGCTTAGGGCTGTGCCTGACTACTTCAGCCACCTACTTGAGGCAGGAAATGAGGCTCCTGAGTTGCCAGGCTAAGATGCTCTGACTTAACTCTTGTGCAGGCCATGGGGCCACCTGTGCTGATGGAAGAGACTGGCTGAGTGGAGGAGAGAGACCAGGCCTTCCTTAGACCTGAGCAGACTTGAAAAGGATACTTCCTGGGGCCTCAGGCCATCCCAATTGGGAGGAGTGCTTGTACCTATCTCTGGTTGTCACTTCCTCAGTTCTTTCCTCAATTTCTGCAGCAATTCCAGAGCTTTCCCCAAGGGCTCTCTCATCTGCTCTGTTTTTTATTTTTATTTTCTTTCTCTCCAGGTGTGAATCAACTTCTTGGGCCTTGGTTCTGAGTTGGAAGAGATATTGCGGAAAGTGGAGAGCAAAAATGTGGGGGGAAATAAAAGGATTTTTTTTATTTTTATTTTTGCTCAATGCTGCCCATTGTGTTTATTGGGAATTAGATGAGGTGGGAATTTTAAGTGAAGGCTGGTTTGGGAGGTTTAGGGTTGTTTTTTTTTTCCTTATTGATATTTAGTTTAGGCTACAGTTGTCATAGGGCCTGGGTCACTGCAGCCATTCCCAGGGTTATCCCTCAGATTTGCAAAACACCTGGTTTTGATCCCAGCTCTGCCACCTTGTGCCTGTGAAATAATTTCAGCAAGTTGAGAGAGTCAGGAGGGTTTAGTCACGAAAAAGGCCTCAGTTTGCTGAAAGGATTTGACAGATTACCCACCAAAGACTCCTCAAACTTGGTAGCCCGTGGCCAGGCTGTCGGATTACTATCCTTTGCAGCCCACATTCCCGCCTTTCCCGCGCCACACACCAGCCTCCCTTCACCCCTCCCAGGATCTGCCCCGCACGCAGGCGCCGACCGCGTCTTTTTCCTTCCGCCCGCGCCCCCTCAGAGCTTCCCCTAGCAACAAGCTCCCCGCTGAGGCGGGCGGACGCATGCGCCGCAGCGCCCTCCACCGCCAGTCGTCGGGAGGCGCCGGACTCCACCCTCTCCCCGTCCTACCCTCCTCCCGCCGCCCGCCCGCCCGGTCCGCGTGGCGGGGCGCGTGCGCACTGCGGCCCGGAGCCGCGGGTCTCCAGGCCACGGCGGTCAGGAGAGGGGCGGGCCCCGGAGGAAGCGGCCCCGCCCTCCTCGGCCGGGCGTCCCCGCGGCGCCTGCGCGCTCCCGCCCGGTCTCCATCTTGGAATTGGGAGGAAGAGGGAGAGGGAGACCGGGACGAGACCTGGGTTGTGGTGCGGCGAGAAGCTGAGACCGAAGAGGAGAGGGAGAGAGGGCGCCGGGACTGCCCCTAGCTCCCACCTTTCGGCTCCCCGCAGGAGAGAGGGGGAGAAGGGGAGGAGGCCGGGGCGGGAGAGGGGCTGTCACCCTCCGACCCTGACGTGCGAGGGGCCATTTGGCCGGACGTCCTAGGGGTGGGCGCCCTGTCGGCGGCCGGAGACCTGGGGCTCTGGTGCTTCAGCCCTGGATTTCCGGGCTTGAGCCCTCGTTTCTCAGACCCCCGGGTATTAGCCCCACAGATTGCAGGTCCCCGCGGCTTGGGTCCCCACCTCTCTAAAGCTGGGGTCTTATTTTGCAGGGCTTCCTCTATCTGGGGTTCGGGGCCCTGCGGGCACCAGTATCCGGGGTTTATTCCCCACGCGATCAGATATCAGGTTAGCTGCCCCCGTTCCGGTACCTGGGGTTCAGACCCCGCAGTCAGAAACCCGGGACTCCGCAGCTGTCGCCCCCGAGGAGGAGGACTGGACCGCGAGGTCAGGCCGGGCTGTCACCCCTTCCCCTCGCGGGGAGGCTTCCCGGGCCCGCCCCTCGGGGAGGGAGGCAGCCGAGGAGGAGGTGGCGAGGGGAGCGGTCTCCTTGCCCCTCTCCCAGCTTGGCGGAGCCGCTGGAGGACCCCAGGAGGAGTCGGAAGCGCTGGGGCACCATAGTGACCCCTACCAGGTGAGACACGGGTGCAGGGACGCGGGTCCCTGTGTCCAGGATGGAGAAGAAAGGGTGCTCCTTTCTCGCAGCTGGGCCTGGGCAGGCCCTCGCCTCAGGATGGGGAAGCCCAGCTGGGCCAGTGGTCAGCCTCCGGCTAGCCCAGCCTTCTGCTGCCACCCTCTTCCTCTTTCTCGTTCCTTCCTTACGCCTGTCTGATGGGGGGCCTCAGGTGACAGGGTCTCTGATGTCACCAGGCTTCACGCCCTGGGTGTGGGAGCTGATCAGATGGGTTTGCACCTTTCTGATCTTCCCCGTTACCTTTGCCCCCCACAAATACCTCCTCTCCACTGTGATAGCCCTTTTAGCTGGTTGGTCGGGGGTGTTACTCCCCATGTCTCTGATCCCCATGGTAGGTCTGCTTTTCCGTTTTTTAGGCTTGGCCTGGTTGGGTCTCTTGTCCTTTCAAGGAAGTGTGTGTGTGTGTGTGTGTGTGTGTGTGTGTGTGTGTGCATTTGGGTTTGGCGGTGCCTGGTAATATTTCCCCAGGCTGTATCGTATAAATCTCATACATTTGTCAGCGATCCATCATTAACCAAGTGTTTTACACTCATTATCTCATGTGACCCCCTTCACCCTTTTAAAAAATATATGTGTTTTTATTGATTTTGAGAGAGAAAGAGAGAAAGGGATAGGGAGAGAGAAAAACACCGATGTGAGAGCAAAGCACATGAGAAGGAAGCACCTATAGCCTGCCTCCTGTATGGCTCCCCACTGGGTAGCGAGCCACAACCAGGGCATGTGCCTGTCCAGGAGTTAAACTGGCAACGTTTTGTTTCCACACTGGCTGGGGCCTCTGTCCTTTTACTGCTATCTCCCCATTTTACAGTTGAGAATATTGAGGCCCAGAGAGGTTGCCCAAGGTCACTCAGTGGCAGAATGAGGATTTGAGTTGTGGTAAGATTTAAGGATGGGAGGAAGAGAGTTTCCTTTTTTAGGAAGCTTTTCCAGAAACCGCCTCATGGGTTTTCTCTCCACTCTGACCTTCAGCTGTACTGTGATCCCAGCCTTTGGCCTAGGCACCTGAGAGGGCCTCTCTTCTGACAATGATAGCTACCATGGTGTCTCAATAGTTAGAGCCAGGCTGCTGGGGTAGGATGTCCCCAAAGTATTCAAACCTTGTGGAGACCCTGGAGGCGTGAAAGGAAAAATCCATATGCCAAATGTCTGCATAGCGTTCCTAAGTGTGGGATCTCATTAAAAATTTCACAACAGCCCTATGCTGAAATTCATCTTACTGAGAAGACCAAGTATAAGGCACTTACCAAAGCCCTGTTGTAGATTGAGGATGAAATTACTACTGGTAGTATAGGGGTGGACATGCTTGGATTTCCTCCCCTGCAGAACGGCGCTGATTTAGGTGGCTATGAGTTAGCACAGATCCTGGTCGTCGTTCAAATGTTCGATGTTGTCTGAGGAAGAGGCCCCATGTCATGTGGCCTAGGTTTCTGTATTGGCATTCTTGGTTGAGAGCTGGTAAAGAGGTCAAGAAGATTCCTTTGGCAAGTTCTGAGCTCCTGCCTTTGTGTGTGGTTATGTGGTTGGGGTGAGGGGTGCTTGGCAGGAGAATGGAGAAAGGGCCTGCTTTGAGCAGCCTGGGAGCTGCTGAGGGCAGTCCGTCATCTCCCAGGCTATTCTGAACCCTCTGCACCCTGGGGACCCACTAGAGTGAGCTGGGCTTGCTCCTTGCCCACCACCGGCTTCCAGTGAGCTGAGACAAAATTAACAACACAATAGGAAACACTGCATGACAGTGTAATTACATGCTGGATGGTAGGCTCTCCACGGAGCTAGAACTCTGCCCCGGGAGTCCAGCTCCTCTGAAGGCTCCTTTGTGCCCGAATTCCAACAAGTGCTTAGTCAGGAGTTTGGCCTGGATTCCCCTTGTGGGTGTGGGGGTCTTGGCTTTGATGCTGGAGTTGCTCTGGATGTTTGGCCGGGTGCTCTAGCAGTTCTCCCTGAGCACCCAGTGATCAGGGAGAGCTTCCTGTAGGAGGGAGCTGAGCTTGTGAGTTGCTGAGAGTTGTGAGCGCACATGCCTGACTGGCCTGACTGGAGAGGAGGAGGTCCTGCTCTCTGACCTTGGAGAAGTCCTCTTTCCTTCCTGTGCCTCAGTGACCTCCTCTGTGAAATGGGATCCTGATCCTGCGCTGCTTATTTCACAGTGCTGTTTTGGGGGAGTCATTTAACCTTCCTGAGCCTGTTTCCTCACCTGCAAAGCAAGGGTACTAGCAATAACCTCGTAAGGTTGTGTGCGGTGAGGACTGGATAAGAGGAAATGCATGTAAGGTATTGCTACATATGCTCAATAAATGTTACTGTCCACCGTAAATGCCCTGTATCTGTGTGTGATGCCTGTGCAATTGGGCTGGACAAAAAAGACAGCCCAGGTCACAGAGAGGCCCCCAGTACCATTCCTCTCCCTGTCCCCCTACCTTAGGTCTCCCTGCCAGTGTCCCTGGCCCTTTTTGAGAATGAGTCTTCTGGCCTCTCTGGGCCAGTACCCACGTCTAACAATGGCCGGATTTCCACTGCCTCCGGCCTGGCCATTTCCTGCTCTCTCCGAGTGTGAGAGGTTGAGGGAGGAGGGGGCCTCTCAGAGGAACGGGAAGGTGCCTGGAAATTTGGATTGTGGGACTTGTGGGACACGACACTTGGGGATTTGGGGACCTGGCTGGGAGGCAGAATCTTTTATTCTTGAAGGAGGAAGTAGGGGTTATAGGGAAATGGGACTTGTTAAGGTCTGAGGAGGGTGGTAAGAATGCTTAACTCCAGTCTTCCTAGCTGTTTTAGGGACTCTGGCCCTGTGGTTTATGCTTTGATTCCCAGGACAAATTCTTTTTTTTTTTTTCTTTCTTTTTTTGAGCTTTGATGTTGTTCCTAATCTCACCAACCCTCCTCACCAGTGCCTCCCCTTCCACAGGGAACTAGGGAAGGAGAAGGCAGAAACTTGAGAGTTCCCTTCCTTCTCTGAGAGCCCCACCCCTGGTCCCATTTCCATTCTCCAGGTCAGGCCCCACGCTCAGGGCCCTCAGGGGCCACCATGCCAGCTGGGAGCCGGGCTGGGAGCCTGAAGGACCCTGATGTGGCTGAGCTCTTTTTCAAGGATGACCCTGAAAAGCTCTTCTCTGACCTTCGGGAAATTGGCCATGGCAGCTTTGGAGCTGTGTACTTTGTGAGTTGGGGCTTGGGAGGGGTAGGGCAGGGATGGGGACTGCATTCTTACCCTCTCCACTGCCCCTCCCCCCCATGGACTTCCACCTTCTGGTCTGGTCGTCTAGGCCCGGGATGTCCGGAATAATGAGGTGGTGGCCATCAAGAAGATGTCCTACAGCGGGAAGCAGTCTAATGAGGTGGGTCAGGCTTACCAAGAACAGGTCGGGGGTAGGAGACCCCTATCAAGATGCAGACTGAGTAAGTCTCTCCTCCCCCTGACGCCTCCCAGAAGTGGCAGGACATCATCAAGGAGGTTCGGTTCCTACAGAAGCTGCGGCATCCCAATACCATTCAGTACCGGGGCTGTTACCTGAGGGAACACACAGCTTGGGTGAGCTGGCCCCTGTCTCTGGCCTGATCTCTGCCCCTCTCAGGCCCATCCTTACCTTGGTCTAGTCTCTTATGCACTAAGGAGTGAGCTCTATTCGGAGTGCTGGTGTGGGGATCTTGGGAAGGAGTGAGTCTCTCTCAGCCTTTTTATTTCTCAGACAAAGCCATGAGCAGCAGAGCCTGCCCAGAAGGAGAGGCTGGTTTGAAGGGTGTCAATGACTGTTAGCAGTTGGGACAAGGGCACATGGGTTGGAAGACCTGGAGATTGGAGCTTTGAAGGGATCGAGGTGGGAGAGGCTCTGACTCTAGGGACTCTCCCACACCCCCTCATTTTCTCAGTTGTCCTTCCTCCCTGCTATTACCCTCGGGGCATTGCCTGAGTGGAGGATAGAGCAAGGAAGCTCTCTATTTTGGATCTCTGCCCAAGAGAGATGGGCCAGGGGTGGCCAGTTCTGCTGATCTCTGACCCTTGACCCTTCCTTAGCTGGTGATGGAGTATTGCCTGGGCTCAGCCTCTGACCTTCTAGAAGGTGAGTAACTCTGTCCCTTCTCAGTGGGAGAAGGGAGAAGAGCAGAGAAGCCGTAGGGGGAGGGCTAAGGGAAGCTTGTTCCAGGCCCACCCGTGGGCTCCCTCAGCTTGATGTTTTCCGCTCACTCCTTAGTGCATAAGAAGCCCCTCCAGGAGGTGGAGATTGCAGCTGTGACCCATGGGGCCCTTCAGGGTCTGGCTTATCTGCATTCCCACAACATGATCCATAGGTACAAGCAGCACGGATGGTTGGGAGGGTGGGGGAGTGCTCTGCATTTAGCTGGGCCACAGCCTTCTTGGAACTTGGTGCCGGAGCCCCCACTCAGCCTTCCTAAGATGCATGTCTTGTTCCTGCGCTTTGCTTCTTGGCAGGGATGTGAAGGCTGGAAACATCCTGCTCTCAGAGCCTGGCTTGGTGAAGCTGGGGGACTTCGGCTCCGCATCCATCATGGCACCTGCCAACTCCTTTGTGGGCACCCCGTACTGGTGAGTGGGAGTGGTGGTGATTGGTGAGAGCTGTCAGAAAGTTGGGAGCAGGAGTTGGCAGGGTCTGGGCAGGTAATTAGCCTCTTTGATCTGAACCCCCAGGATGGCTCCGGAGGTGATCCTGGCAATGGATGAAGGGCAGTACGACGGCAAGGTGGATGTCTGGTCATTGGGGATAACGTGCATCGAACTGGGTAAGGACAGCCTCCACTCTGCCCCTCCATCCTCTTTTCCTTCATTCCCTTCTCTTTCCCTTATTATCCCCATACCATACCATCCTTTGAGTTTTCCAGGCTTCTGTTCATTTTGACTCTACTCTTGATCTCCAATATAGGCAGCTGTCAAATTCTGCCAATTTTTTATTTGTTTATTTTTGTTAATCCTCACCCAAAGATATTTTTCCATTGATTTTTCTTTTTCTTTTTTAATTTTTATTATTTTTTTAATCAGAGAGGAAGGGAGAGGGAAAGAGAAATTAGAAACATCAATGATGAGAGAATCATTGATCGGCTGCCTCCTCCTCGCCCCCCACTGGGGATCAAACCTACAACCTGGGCATGTGTCCTTGACCGGAATTGATCCCATGACCTTTCAGTCCTCAGGTCAATGCTCTATCCACTGAGCCAAACCGGCTAGTGCTCCATTAATTTTTAGAGCATGGAAGGGAGAGGGAGAGACAGAAAAACGTCAATTTGAGATAGACACATCAATTGGTTGCCTCCTGCACGCACCTCAGCCTGGGCTGGGGAACCTGCAACCGCTATACATACCCTTGACCAGAATCGAATCTGGGACCCTTCAGTCCGAGAGCTGATACTCTATCCACTGAACAAAAATGGCTCAGGCAAATTATGCCAGTTTTTATACCTAAAGATTTCATAGCATTCACCTCTTCCTATCTAATACTCTAGTTCTAACATTTTCCTTTTAGCATGGACTGTGTACCATGTATATGCTAGTAGGTTCTGGGGGTATAGCAGTGAATAAGTCTCCTGCCTTCGTGGAATTTATATTCAAGTTGGAGAAACTGGCATATTTTCTTTCAATGTAATAAGAGCTGAATGGGGAGTTAAAAGAATAGTACAACTCTTAAGACAAGGGATATGACCTAGTTCAGAGGCTGAGGAAGGTCTCCCCGTAGCAGAAATATATAAATGGCGTCACAAAGCAAATAATAGTTAGCTGTTTGAAGACTGTAGGGAAGAGCATTCCAGACAGGTAAGAGCAGGCATGTGGAGCTGAAACTAGTTTCAGTTATCCTATATAATAAAAGGGTAATGTGCAAATTGACCCTAACAGCCGAATGACCGGTCGCTATGACGCACACTGACCAACAGGAGGCAGATGCTCAATACAGGAGCTGCCCCCTGGTCATCAGTACGCTTCCACAGGGGGAACACTGCTCAGCCAGAAGCTGGCTCATGCTGGCTAGCACAGTGGTGGTGGCAGGACCCTCTCCTGCCTCCGTAGCAGAGCTAAGGATGTCTGACTAACGGCAGGTGGAGGGCTCCTGGGCTGTGAGAGGGATGTCTGACTGCCAGCTTAGACCCAGTCCTGCAGGAAGTGGGCCTAAACCGGCAGGTGAACATTCCCCAAAGGCTCCTGGACTGCAAGAAGGTGCAGGCCAGGCTGAGGGACCCCCTAGTTTGGAATAATGCAGTAAAGAGCAGTAAGTGATACGACAGAGTTAGGCTCAAATGAGTTCATAAGGCCTTGAAGCCATGTCAAGGTTCTCATCTTTGTCAGCCTGCACTATTGAAACAACTATTTAATGAGATAATGTTTGTAAGACCTTCAATAGGGTGCCAAACAGACTAGTTGTCCCAAGAAAGAGATGCTGTTGCCCTCTCAGGTTTGGCTCGGTGGATAGAGCATCGGCTCGTAGATTGAAGGGTCATGGCTTTGATTCCAGACAAGGGCACGTACCTGGGTTGCAGGCTCAATCCCCGGCTCTGGCAGGGACCTATGTGGGAGGCAACCAATCAATATGTCTCTCTCATATTGATGTTTTTCTTCTGTTTCTCCCTCCCTTCCACTCTAAACATCAGTGGGAAAATATCATTCCGTGAGGATTAACAAACAAAAGGGAAAGAAAGATGCTGTTAGTAACACTTATAAGCTACTTCTTGCAGTGATCTCTCCTACTACAATCTCTCTTACGTCACAGAGTTGCTTAAGCTCTGTTGTTTCACTTTCTTCCTCAGAGCCAGCAGTGGCTCTCTGTTGCTTTCAAGACTGAAGTCATCCCATCTTTTCTCACACCAAGCTCAAGACTGCTTCCTAAAGCCTGGCTTTTGTCTTCGGAGCTCCACCCTGTGTGCCATGAACTTTTCTACTTTCTGCCTTGATTTCTTTTGTGTCCCCTGCCCAAGAGCAGAAATGTGTACATGTCCATCTCTGCAAGTCTACATTTACCATTTGAGACCGCAACCAGACAGGTTATGCAAATACTTGAAGCTGGCCAGGAATAAGAAAAATCTTGAACTGTCCATTTTATTCCTAGTTTTGGTAGAGACATAGGTACAGAGAAATACTTCTCTACGATTAAAAAAAAAAAATCCCAAAAAAACACACATCAATCTTGTGGCAACTGATAGGATCAGAAAAGCAAACTGGAAGTTTGGCAAACTGGAGATTGCTATTGCTTATCTCCAGCCCATTGTTATGCAAGAATGTAGGCTCTAATTCACCAGATCTAAGTTTTTAAGATGAACTAGAGATTTAGGTTATTATTATTTGTTATATGGAATTTAATTTAAAAATCCTTATGTGGGCCAAAAGCATAAACAACAAAGACATTTGACTGAGCTACTTGGAGCTCCTGGCTTGCAATTTCTCATCCAAGGTCTAGCTCCAATATCCCTTTTTCCAAAAGACCTTCCCTGAATCCCCTGCAAATATACCAATGGGAAGGCCCACCACACTTCCAGCTTGCCAGCCATTTATTTACCTATCTCCCTCTTGTGCCAGTTAATAGTTTGAACTTGATATTATTTGTCCACCTTATTTAATCTTTCTGTCAGATTGAAGTTTGTTGAGGACAGGACCTATTTCTTGTTTTCCTTTACCTTCCCCATAACACTTAGCGAGCTTTTTGCTCTCATTTGGCACCTAATAAATATTAATTTGGCTGATAACTTTCTTCTGCCTTCTTCGGTGCTTTTGCATATGCTATTTGTGTTATCTGTATTTCACCTTGTGCAGGTGAAATGACAGTGTTGCATTTTCAAGAGGGAGTGCATTGAGGTTATGGGAATTGCTCAGAGTCTCGCAGTCAAGAAATCAGGAGCTGGAATGTGAACCCAAATCTCCGGATTTCTGTTCCAGTCTCCTCTGCTCACTGCCATCTCTCACTTCTCCCACTTGACCTTTCTTTGTAGCGGAACGGAAACCACCACTGTTTAACATGAATGCGATGAGTGCCTTATACCACATTGCACAGAATGAGTCCCCTGTGCTCCAGTCAGGACACTGGTAAGGGCTTGGATCCCTGGGCCCAAGGGTTAGGCCATAGGGTAAGGCTGCCTGACTCATCCCTTTCCCACTCCTCCCTCCCCCTCCTGTGACTACTAGGTCTGAGTACTTCCGGAATTTTGTCGATTCCTGTCTTCAGAAAATCCCTCAAGACAGACCAACCTCAGAGGTTCTTCTGAAGGTGAGGACTCACTGGCCTAGGATTCTTCTAGAACTGTAGCTTGTTTGAGCTACAAGAAATCCCTCAATGAAATTAGTGATTCCTACCAAAAACTTCATTTATGAATTCCCACCCCCTCCCTGTTAAATTTTGTCTACCAGACTGCCTTTATTAAGAAATAATTTGTTTTCCCATCTTTTATTAATCAAAGATGTATATAATTGCGAGCTAGAACTTCTGGTCAGCATGCGATAACCAGGGTTACCACGCTGATCTGATGTAAATCAAGCCAAAAGCCTGTGTAGTCTTTTCATGGGTAAATGTATGATTTCCCTTAGGTGTTTTTTGACTTAGCAAAAGTAGAGGGGCCCCTATTCCCTTCACAGACCCATGGGGGCCTACAGAGCCCTAGTTGGGAACTGACATAGATTGTCTGGTTTGACAGCTGTTTTGTAATTGTGGGATACCTTATGAGGCCTCATGACATGTCCACGGACATGCAGCACTTTGATAGAGGACCTGGACTGGAATCCAGATGTGACTGGTCTTGCCTGTTGGCCATTGGTGAAGGAATAAGCCTGGGGAGATTGGGTGGTGAAAATTAATATGGGAGAAAGTGTTGGGACAAGGCCAGTATCCACCCATGAGGACATGGGTCCCAGGGGATTGCCTCAGGCTAGAGGGAATGCCAGCACCCATAGGATATTGGGGATCATAGGGGTGCTTGGCCACGAGTCTCGGTGTTCTCTTTCCCCAGCACCGCTTTGTGCTCCGGGAGCGGCCACCCACAGTCATTATGGACCTGATTCAGAGGACCAAGGATGCTGTGCGGGAGCTGGACAACCTGCAGTACCGCAAGATGAAGAAGATTCTATTCCAAGAGGCACCCAATGGCCCTGGTGCTGAAGCCCCAGAGGAGGAGGAGGTGACTCAGCTTGCCCTGCCACCCTTTACCACCATGTTGAACTTGCCTCCTAGCAGTTGCTTGGCCCCCTTGCCCATCCCTCCTCACACCCACTGTCTTCCTTGTGCTACCTCCATGTACACACCCCTTGTTCTTCCCCTTCCCTGCCCAACAGCCTACGCCCTGTCTGCAGGAGGCGGAGCCCTACATGCACCGAGCTGGGACGCTGACCAGTCTAGAGAGTAGCCACTCAGTGCCCAGCATGTCCATCAGCGCCTCTAGTCAGAGCAGCTCAGTCAACAGCCTAGCAGATGCTTCAGACAATGAGGAGGAGGAAGAGGAAGAGGAAGAGGAGGAAGAAGAGGAGGAAGGCCCTGAAGCCCGGGAGATGGCCATGATGCAGGAAGGGGAACACACAGTCACCTCCCACAGTTCCATCATCCACCGGCTGCCGGTATGCGGCTCACCCTGAGGAGGCCTGACAGTGGAAAGGCCCAGCCCCAGCTCTTCTGCTCAGACATCGTCTGGGTTCCCTTCTCTCCCTCCCAAGCATGACTGCCTCCTCTAAATCTGACTGGGTCTCCAAGGAACTGCCTTTGGGCCCAGTGGCCTCTGAGCCTGTATATCCTTTCCACCTTCCCTCCAGGGCTCTGACAACCTATATGATGACCCCTACCAGCCAGAGCTGACCCAGGGCCCTCTTCAGCAGCCTGCAGCCCCAGCTCCCACTTCTACCACTTCTTCTGCTCGCCGCCGGGCCTACTGCCGCAACCGAGACCACTTTGCCACCATCCGTACTGCTTCCCTGGTAAGGGCATCCATTCTCCCGTGGGCCACAGGTCCCAGTCATCTATGTCCAGAAATTATTTCCTCCTTGTGGCACATGGTCAAGTTCAAATTCTACCCTCACTTTTGGTAGCTGTCTCTTTTCTTCACTTCAACCTCCAGGGGATTGGCCACATTGGGCATTCCTAGCTCGGCAAACTCTTACTCCATTTTTGTGGCTAGACTTAAATTGTGTCTGCTCGGATGCCTTCCCAGGCCCCTGGCCAATGGGTGCTCCTGAACAGCATTATGACAGATGTGCTGGATTCTGTGTTTGTGAGGGGCTAGGGTGGTGTTCAGGTATCTGCCTCATTCCAGTGATTGGTTCTCAGGTCACATACATGCCTATATTTAATCCAGCTCCTCTGGGAGGGAGCCAGTATGATCCCATTGGAGAGGTGAGGCAGCCATGACTCAGAGCCTGCTTGCCTAAGGCACTTATCCTAGCATTGTTGATGGTTGTCAAATTCTGTAAGCAGGACGCTAGTCCTTTCCTAACGTTAACTTATAGCAGTTGTTTTCTCAGTTAACAGGGAAAAGTGGGTAGACGTTTAGATTACATTCCTGCTTAGCTGCAAAAGCCAACAATCCCCTTACTTGGTCTAGGGGTCTCTGCATGTGGTTGGTTCTGTTAGATCAACTCTTCAAATCCTGTGATGCTTGGTTCTTTGTGATACTGTGCAGAGAAATCTGTGACTTTCAGGCCATGGCCACCTGGACAATGGGCCTGAGCTCAAATCTCAGTTGAGGACATCCAGTCCCAGTCTTCTTGTTATTCCAACATCTCATGGCCCAGATCCAGTTCTCAGTGTTTGCTGAAGGAGAACAAAGCCAACATTTAGTGATTCACAGTGATTTAGACACTAGTACATACTAGTATGTATCAAAGTTAATCTCCACAGCCCTCAATGAGGAGGTATTATGGCCTCATTTAATAGACGAGGAAACCAAGGTTTAGCAACCTTAACTTGCATGAAGTCACATGATTAGTAAGTGGCAGAGCTGGGCCATGGATCCAGGTCTCTATGATGACTCTCTCTTTGTTGTATTAATCCTCATCCAAGGATATTTTTCCATTTATTTTTAGAGAGAGTGGAAGCTAGGGGAAGAGACAGAGAAAAACATTGATGTGAGAGAGACACATCAATTGATTGCCTCCTGCACTCACCCTGAGCAAGGCCAGGATCGAGCCCGCAACCTAGAAATGTGTCCTTGATCAGAATCGAACCCAGGACCCTTCAGTTCACAGGCCAACGCTCTGTCTCCTGAGCCAGACTTGCCTGGGCTGTATGATTACTCTTTTGAACTAATCTGAATTGTCCTACTTTTACACCTCTTATTTTCTCATCAACCTATGAAGTTAATTATATTTTCATTATCCAGTTGAGGTGGCAGGCACAGAGAGGTTATGTGTGAGGAAGATACCAAATGTGAGAATTAAACCCATGCGTCTAAAGCCCATGTTCTTTCTTCATAGAGCATGAAGACTGTGTGTGCTAATCAAGTGGGGCCAAGCTGAGCCTTTCTTCTCATCCTCTCCCGCCCCAGGTCAGCCGTCAGATCCAGGAGCATGAGCAGGACTCAGCTCTGAGGGAGCAGCTAAGTGGCTATAAGCGGATGCGACGGCAGCACCAGAAACAGCTGTTGGCCCTGGAGTCACGGCTGAGGGGTGAACGCGAGGAGCATAGTGCACGGCTGCAGCGAGAACTTGAGGCCCAGCGAGCTGGCTTTGGGGCTGAGGCAGAAAAGCTGTCCCGGCGGCACCAGGCCATCGGGGAGAAGGAGGCACGAGCTGCCCAGGCTGAGGAACGAAAGTTTCAGCAGCACATCCTTGGGCAGCAGAAGAAGGAGCTGGCTGCCCTGCTGGAGGCGCAGAAGCGAACCTACAAACTTCGGAAGGAGCAGCTAAAGGAGGTGGGATAGGCTCCGGCAGTGGCGTGGCTGGGGCCTGGTGGTAAGAGAGGCAGTCCCTAACTGCCCTGCTCTCCCCACTGCCCAGGAGCTTCAGGAGAACCCCAGCACACCCAAGCGGGAGAAGGCTGAGTGGCTTTTGCGGCAGAAGGAGCAGCTACAGCAGTGCCAGGCGGAAGAGGAGGCAGGGCTGCTACGGAGGCAGCGCCAATACTTTGAGTTGCAATGTCGCCAATATAAGCGCAAAATGCTGCTGGCTCGTCATAGCCTGGATCAGGATCTGCTGCGAGAGGTGGGTCATCCCATTTCCCTCCCAGATCCCAGACATCCTTAAAAAGAAAACCACACCAGATTTAGATATAGATTAGATTAGATATAGATATAGATATAGAGAGATTTCAGAGTGGAAGGGAAGGGATAAGAAAAACAGAAACATCAATGATTGGCTGCCTCCTGCATACTCCATACTGGAAATGGAGCCCACAACCAGGCATGTGCCCTGACCGGGAATCAAACCTCCACCTCCTGGTTCATAGGTAAATGCTCAACCACTGAGCCATGCTGGCCCTGCCCAGGCTCCTTTTTCATTTGCCTCACTTATGGTCGTCTTTCCCCTCAGCCCACCTTCATGTGATGGTTCGGCTTCCCTTGAACACCCCTCTTGCTTCTTATGCCCACCAGAAAGACCCTGCTAGAGTTCCCCTAGAATTCTATTCCCAGGAGTTTGGCTCCCTTATATCCTCATCTTCCCACCATCAGCTTCTGCCAAAGAGTTTTGGGGCTCTCACACCAACAAGGTTTCTAACTGGACTCTGGGCCCTGCCCCTCTTCTGCTTCAGGACTTGAACAAGAAACAAACACAGAAGGACTTGGAGTGTGCATTGCTGCTGCGGCAGCATGAGGCCACACGGGAGCTTGAGCTGAGACAGCTCCAGGCTGTCCAGCGCACAAGGGCAGAGCTCACCCGCCTGCAGCACCAGACAGAGCTGGGCAACCAGCTGGAGTACAATAAGCGGCGTGAGCAAGAGTTGCGGCAGAAGCATGCAGCCCAGGTTCGCCAGCAGCCCAAGAGCCTCAAAGTACGTGCAGGCCAGCGTCCCCCGGCCCTCCCGCTCCCCATTCCTGGGGCTCTGGGACCACCCAGCACAGGCACCCCTAGAGAAGAGCATCCCTGCTCATCTGGCCAGGAGGCAGTCTTTGACCAAAGAATTCTGGGAGAGGAGGAGCAAGCAATTCCAGAGAGAAGGATTCTGGGAAAGGAAGGGGCCACCTTGGAACCAGAGGAGCAGAGGATTTTGGGGGAAGAATTAGGAACCCCTAGTCCCAATCCACAAAAACATAGGTGTTTGGTTGGTGAGGAAGTTTGGGGTCTTACTGAGGAGGAGATAGAGGAGCTAAGAGTCCCGTCCCTGACACCTCAGGAGAGGAACATTGTGGGACAGGAGTTGGCTGAGGCATGGATGTTGTGGGAGAAGGAAGATAGGAGCCTCCTGGATGAGGAATTTGAGCTTAGCTGGATCCAGGGCCCAGCTCTGACCCCAGTCCCTGAGGAGGAGGAAGAGGAAGAAGAGGAGGAGGGGGCTCCATTTAGGACTCCGAGGGATCCTGGAGATGGCTGTCCCTCACCAGACATCCCCCCTGAACCCCCTCCAACATATCTGAGACCTGGCCCTGCTAGCCAGCTCCCTGGACTCCTGTCCCATGGCCTCCTGGCCGGCCTCTCTTTTGCAGTGGGGTCCTCCTCTGGCCTCCTGCCCCTACTACTTCTGCTGCTGCTCCCTCTGCTGGCCGCCCAGGGTGGGGGTGGCTTGCAGGCCTCGCTGCTAGCCCTTGAGGTGGGGCTGGTGGGCCTGGGTGCCTCCTACCTACTTCTTTGTACAGCTCTGCATCTGCCCCCCAGTCTGTTCTTACTCCTTGCCCAGGCCACTGCACTGGGGGCTATCCTGGGTCTGAGCTGGTGCCGGGGCCTTATAGGTGTCCCTCTGGGCCTTGGGGCCGCCTGGCTGCTAGCCTGGCCAGGCCTGGTTCTACCACTGGCAGCTATGGCAGCTGGGGGCAAATGGGTGCAGCAGCAGGGACCTCAGATTCGCCGGGGCATCTCTCGGCTCTGGTTACGGGCTCTGCTGCGCCTATCCCCCCTGGCCTTTAGGGCCCTACAGGGTTGTGGGGCTGTGGGGGACCGGGGTCTGTTTGCCCTCTACCCCAAGACCAACAAGGATGGCTTCCGCAGTCGACTGCCTGTCCCTGGGCCTCGGCGGAGTAATTCCCGGGCTTCCCGACACCCACTAGCTCTATTGGCAAGGTTTTGGGCCCTGTGTAAGGGCTGGAACGGGCACCTGGCACGGGCCAGCCAAGGTTTGGCCTCCCGCTTACCTCCCTGGGCGATCCACACACTGGCCAGCTGGGGCCTCCTTCGAGTTGAACGGCCCAGCCGTATTCCCCGACTGCTGCCACGCAGCCAGCGCAGGCGAGGGCCCCCTGCCTCTCACCAACCACCACCTGGGACTCTAGCTGGGCGGAAGTCCCGAACCCGTCAGTCCCGGGCCCTGCCTCCCTGGAGGTGACCAACTCCGGTGTTTCCTCAGCCCGAATCTAGAGCATTGAGCACTTTATCTCCCACTACTCAGCGAAGATTTTGCAGTCCCATCCTCCTTTTCACCCCTCCTTCCTCGGTGTGCTCCCTCCACCTCCAGCCCTTGGACCTCTAGACAGGCAGCCCCTCCGCTAGAGCTCAGAGTTACACTTTGTGTTCTCCTGAGGCTCCTCCCCACCCTAAGTTATTGCTGTTCTCCGGCTGTGTGTGTGCTCATCCTCACCCTCATCGACTCAGGCCTGGGGCCAGGTGTGGTGGTGGGTGGAAAGAGTCATGTGTTTTTTTTTCTCTCTTTGATTTTGTTTTTCTGTCTCCCTTCCAACCTATCCCCTTCCCCCCATCAAAAAAAGAAAAAGACAAACACAAATAAAATATCTAAGAGGAACTATACCTTTGGCCCAGGCTGCCTCTGTCTGCTTTGTCCTGCCGCCTAGCCTCCCTGGTATGCCCCAATCCAGACCCTTGGCCCCCAGACCCATGACCTCTTCACCTCCATCTACATTATCTCAACCCCTTTCATTCCTCAGCCTCATCCTCTCTGCCATCATAACTTTATTGCATCATGACCACCACCAGCTGGGGGTCTGGACCTCTTCGAGCTTTGACATATCTTATGCCCACAGTTCCCATTTGTGGATTCCTTATGAGACTCCTTAGGTTCTGGGTCCTTTTGTCCTCATCCCCTGCTGCTCCCAACCTGTTCCCTTTCTGGGAGCTGAATTTCTCTCCTGGCATCAGGAATTATCCTAGAGGGCTGGGGGATGGAACTGGAAACCCTGAATAGTAGGGGATGGTGAGTTTGGGGGCCAAGCACGAGTATGGGGGCCGTGGAAATGGGATTGGTTGTGGGCTTGGAATGGGAGCTGAGTGTGTAAGGGGCTGTCTGGAATGTGGACATCTGGCCAGGGTGGCAGCTGTTGGCCCATTGAACTTGTCAGGCCCTTTCTGGCCACTTCTTTGCCCCTTTGCCTCATGTGGCCTGAGATGGGGCCACCTCTTCTTATCCATTTCTCAGCTCGGTGGTTGTCCTTCCCTCCTTCCCGCCCAGAGGTACTGAACCTGGGCCTTTCTCTGTCTTTAGCTGTGTTGTTCTTTTCCACGAGTATGTTGTGTGATTTGGTTTTCTCTTATACACATTCTGTATCTGCTCACATGCTTCTATCTCTAGGTCATGTTTTCTCTCTGCATGGTTAAAGCTACCTGTATGCCCTCAGTACTCTAAAGATTCTCAGTTCCCTGTCCATGAACTCCTGCTGTTTCTCGTGAGTTTTCCACCCAACTCTGTGAACATGCTCTTGGAACCTTGTTTCCTTTGCATCTCTTGCCCATTGAGAATCTTCCTGATCTCTCTCAACACAATCCCATCTCTCCATGTCTGTCTGTATACAGTTCCCCCCGCCCCCTCTGTCTAACATGTTTTCTGTTTCTCTCCCTCTCCCTGTCTCTGTTTCTGTCTCTTCCTCTCTCTTTCCCCCTTCTCCCCTGATTGTTCCTCCTCCTCCTGTTCCTCTTCCTCCTGTTCTTCCTCTTCCTCCTCTCCCTCTTCCTTTCCCCTGCCCCCATTTCCCCTCGGTCCATCCACTGCATAGTCTAAGGAGCTGCAGATCAAGAAGCAGTTCCAGGAGACGTGTAAGATCCAGACTCGGCAGTACAAGGCTCTGCGGGCACACTTGCTGGAGACTACGCCTAAAGCTCAGCACAAGAGCCTTCTTAAGCGGCTCAAGGAAGAACAGACCCGAAAGCTGGCGATCCTAGCCGAGCAATACGACCAGTCCATCTCAGAGATGCTCAGCTCACAGGCGGTGAGGCCTGGGGTCCAGAGAGGGAGCATGGTGGAGATTGGCCGCTATTTCCCACTTGATTATGAGCAATGAAAGCAGGGGAGGGGGTGGATTTTTGAGGGGGCTTTTTGTTCCTCGCAAACCTCAGATACCTCCCACTGTCAGTATTCTCTGCAATGGTTTTATTCTCTCGCTTGAGTATTTTCTTAAGGTCTTAACAAAGCCAGCCTGCCTATTCTACCAAGAACTACCAAGGAAAGTGCGGCTGTAGTTTTTCCTTGAGCCTGAGTTAGTTTAATATGAATAGCAAATCAAAATGCTTATAGCCCTCAGGTCAATTTTCTGACTTCTGGAGGATTTTGAAGGTTGCTGTCTAAAAGTGATCACACATAAGTAACATGGAATGGGTCACTTAAAATATACACATGGTATAAAAAGTAACACTATTCATTGCCATTTTTTCACCCAATCCCACTTCTCATTGAAGTATATTAATAATTAATTGTACTAGATTATTTCCTGTGCATATTGGAAAGTTACATAAAATTTTGAAACAAGAATGGAATCATACTTTACATACTATTCTTTAACTTCTTTTTCCACCTAATATTTCTTGGACCTCTTCCCATGTCAGTACACATATCTCATTTTTTTAACAGCATAGAATTTTCCATGGTATAAATATACCATAATTTATTTAACCCATCCCTTATTGGTGGACATTTAGGTTGTTTCCAGTATATTGCTATTACAACGCTTCAGTGAACACCTTCGAGCACATGTGCAAGTATACCTTGGGGATAAATTCCTGGAAGTGTAATTGCTGTGTCACAGGGTATGACGACCTTTCATTTTGGTAGATGTTGACACTGGCTGCTTCTTGAAACCTTAGGGCCCAGGCCTACCTGGGGCAGGGGAGGACTGTGGGGGTTGGGAAGGAGGCCCCTAAAATTGGTTCTTCCTATTTTCCAGCTGCGGCTTGATGAGACCCAAGAGGCAGAATTCCAAGCCCTTCGGCAGCAGCTTCAACAGGAGCTGGAGCTCCTCAATGCGTATCAGAGTAAGATCAAGATTCGCACCGAGAGTCAGCATGAGAGGGAGTTGCGAGAGCTGGAACAGAGAGTAGCTCTGAGGCGGGCACTGCTAGAGCAGCGGGTAAGAGGGCTTGGCCTCCAGGATGGGGTGGGCAGTCCCCCTCCCCCTCCCCCCGAACCCTCAGTGGACTCTCTAATCTCTCAGGTGGAAGAGGAGCTGCTGGCCCTGCAAACGGGGCGTTCTGAACGAATCCGGAGTTTGCTTGAACGGCAGGCCCGTGAGATCGAGGCTTTCGATGCTGAGAGCATGAGGCTGGGTTTCTCCAGTATGGCTCTGGGGGGCATCCCAGCCGAGGCTGCTGCCCAAGGCTATCCCGCTCCACCCCCTGCCCCTGCCTGGCCCTCCCGCCCTGTTCCCCGTTCAGGGGCACACTGGAGCCATGGCCCTCCTCCACCTGGCATGCCCCCCCCAGCCTGGCGTCAGCCTTCACTTCTGGCTCCCCCAGGTCCCCCAAACTGGCTGGGGCCCCCAGCACAGAGTGGGACACCCCGTGGTGGAGCCCTGCTACTGCTCAGAAACAGCCCCCAGCCCCTGCGGCGGGCAGCCTCGGGGGGCAGTGGCAGTGACAACGTGGGCCCACCTGCTGCCGCAGTGCCTGGGCCTCTGAGCCGCAGCACCAGTGTCGCTTCCCACATCCTCAATGGCTCCTCCCACTTCTATTCCTGAAGTGCAAGGTGGATAAGCAGATGGAGGGGCAGGGGCAAGGGTGGGTGGAGCCTGATTCTGGCGGGCTTATAAGCTTGAGGCCCACCCAAAGGTGGGGGAATGGATGTTAGTTCCAGCTCTCCTCAAACCTCCTCATCTCATGAGCTTCTTGGGCTGGCCAGTGGCCCAGGGTCAGCTTGGGCATAGGTTCCTCAAGGCTGACTAGGAGCCCCTGCCTCCCCACCATGGTGCCAGGGTCTCTCTCCACCACCGCCTTGGAAAAGGAGGGAGATGTGTGTGTCAAATATTCATCTAGTCCCCTGGGGGAGGGGAAGGGTGGGTCTAGATATATTCAGAGAACTAAACTCCCTGCATTGGGGCCGTGGATTGGGGACGCCAGGCCCCCGCAGACCTGGGAAGTGACAGAGCAAGTCTGGGGGTCTGGGGTGGGGAGTACGGGAGGAAAGGGCCTTCTTAGGAAGAAGGATAGGATGGGGTCTTGGGGTCAGGATGCCTGGGTCTCTCCATTCCCCTGTTGCCGTCTGAAGTCCTGTGCCGTCTTGTCTTTTTTTTATTATTATTATTATTGAGATCAGAGCTGGGGCAGGGGAACAAGGGAAGAACCTTGGAGGGGGCTGCTCCCAGGTCTGAGGGCAGTCATGTGAGCCCCTCCCAGCTACGGGGCTGGCACAGAGCCCCATGGCAAGCTTTTAATAAACTGTTGGTTATTCTAACAGACCCCAGGACTCATGCTTTCTAAGCTGTGCATTAAGGACTGTTCAGTGGCAGGTGATGATGTTACTTGTATTTAAAAAGAAAATTTACTGGGCTGTGGAACTAAAAATTGCAGTGTTTTTAATTACTTCGGCCATCACTAGACTCAGAGCTTTAGATGGGATCATTAGACTTTTAAAAAATATATATATTGATTTTTTACAGAGAGGAAGAGAGAGGGATAGAGAGTTGGAAACATCGATGAGAGAGAATCATCGGTTAGCTGCCTCTTGCACACCCCCCACTGGGGATATGCCCGCCGAGGTACATGCCTTGACCGGAATCGAACCCCGGGACCTTTCAGTCCCCAGGCCGACGCTTTATCCACTGAGCCAAATAGGTTTCGGCAGATCATTAGACTTTGACCTCTGCTTCCCTTTGCTTTTGGCTTCAAAGATTTTTAGAAGGTTCACTTCATGCTCAAACTCCTAGCATCTCCAGGCTTACATCTTACCAGCAACTTCAACAGCAAGAATCCCAGCAAATTCCTGAAGTGATCTCATTGGCTCCATCTATAGCCAGAGACCTGGCACGGTGCTCTGATTGGTAAGGTGTAGATCCTGTACTCCCACCCCTTGAATGCTGAAGGAGATGGCCCATAGACCAAGGGGCTGTTTTTTATTTATTTATTTATTTATTTATTTATTTATTTATTTTTTAATATATTTTATTGATTTTGTACAGAGAGGAAGGGAGAGAGATAGAGTTAGAAACATCGATGAGAGAGAGTCATCGATCAGCTGCCTCTTGCACACCCCCTACTGGGGATATGCCTGCAACCAAGGTACATGCCCTTGACCGGAATCGAACCCGGGACCGTCAGTCCCCAAGCTGACGCTCTATCCATTGAGCCAAACCAGTTTTGGCTAAGGGGCTGTTTTTTAAAGGGGAAGGAAAACAAACACCAGCTGTTTCCAAGTTATTTCATTTTGTGCTTCACACTCTTAAAGCTAGATTGTCAAAGTCCTTCCACCGGGAGCCACGCTCTCCTGAGAGAGCCTGATGGCAGACTGGATGGTAGGGTCTGAAAGCTGGGACTTCTGTGGAGAACCTGAGGGAAATTAAAGGGAACTAGATGGGGTGGGTGGGAGGATAGTGGCCACTTCTCAACCTCCTGGCCCAAAGGGGGGGAGGGTTTGAGCATGGGGGACTAGTTTTGATGAGGTGATTCAAACATTCCTTTATTGAGTCTTAAAAAATAAACTGTAAGCACTGTACACTGAGGACATGAAGCAGAAATGGAATCCCAGTAATTGTAACTGGGGGTTTCAAGTCGGAAGAAAGGTGCTTCTCTGGGCACAGAGTTTGGGTTGGCTGGGGTTGCTATACATGTGTGCTTTCTACAGGTGCATAAAGTTCCTCCTGGTAGATGGGGAGCTTAGTTACTCTCGCCGTCACTGCTGATGATGCCACGCATATAAGACCAGTCCGGGCGTGGGGGGCAGTGCCGCTCTTCCTCCGAGTCCAGGGTCCGGCGGTACAGCTCCCCGGGGGCGGCTGGTTCTGAAGGGTTCCAGGCCGTGCGTCTCCGTGGCCGACCTGGGGGAAGAAGCAGATTAGTTGTCTGAGAAAGTCCAAGCCCCATCAGTCTCTGGGCAGGGAGAAGCCTCTCACCCGAACAGCTGATAATGTTAGTAATGTCCAAGGATGCCACCTCGGCTGCCTCCTCACGCTGCTCCTTCAGAGCCCGACACTTCTCTAAAGAAGGGTTACCTGGGAGAGAAGAGGCTTGTGATCCTCTCCCCCCAGCAGCCAAGGACCTCCTGCAGCCCCAGGGCACACCCGGCCTAACCCTTCATGCCCAGAGCTTCCAGCTCTGCCCGGAGGACACTCAGGCGCTCCTTGCGCGAGCGGCAGGAGCCCAGCAGCTTCTTGTAGTTGCGACGGGCGCCACAGGCCCGGATGTAGCGCTTCAGTCTCATCACAGCAGGGTGGTCCTCGTCACGACCAGCCTGGCAGGAAAAGACGACAGCTGAAGGTCAGGTCTGCTGGTCTCACTCTAGGTCTCCCTCTTAACTGTGGCCTCCCGCCCCATCTTCTCCCTCACCTTCCTGCCTTTGGGTTCCGGACTGCCATTGGCAGAAGAGGACGAAGAGCTTCGTGACCTGCTTTTCTTGGAGCTCTTTCTGTAAGAGCGGCCTTTCCTCTCCCCCTGGAGGCTCCCCCCTGCCTCACTGTCACTCGCCTCCCTCTCCGAGTCACTTGCCTCGCCATTGGTTGCCTTTCTACTTTCTGCTTTGGCTGACTTTCCCCTGCCTTTAGTAGCTGGTTTCACCTTCCTGCAGCTGTCTTCCCCATCCTCCTCGCTGCTGCCACTCTGCCTTCTGCCACCAGCCCACTGGGTCCTGTCCTTGCCCTTCCTCTGCACTAGGGGCTCTTCATCTCCCTCACTGTCATCTCCGCTACCTGCTGCTCTTTCCTTCTCTTCCTCTCTGTCCGCCCCGTCCCCCAGCACTTCTGCTGCCAGGCTTTTCTGCTTACTGCTCCTGTCCTCCCAAGCTGACTTTTCCCCTCCATTGTTCGGAGCTCTGGGTTTCCAATCCTCCTCTCTGTTCTCTTTCTTGGCTAGGGTCTCCTCCCCTTCACTCTCCGTTGCACTTTCCTGGTGTCTTTTGGCTCTTTTGTTTTCCATCCTTTGGGCAAGTTCTTCCTCACTGTCCTCACTGTCCTCGATGGCCTGCTTCCTACTAGCTGACATCTTGCCTGGTACCTGCTTGTTTTTAACTGTGGCCTCCCGCCCCATCTTCTCCCTCACCTTCCTGCCTTTGGGTTCCGGACTGCCATTGGCAGAAGAGGACGAAGAGCTTCGTGACCTGCTTTTCTTGGAGCTCTTCCTGTAAGAGCGGCCCTTCCTCTCGCCCTGGAGGCTCCCCCCTGCCTCACTGTCACTCGCCTCCCTCTCCGAGTCACTTGCCTCGCCATTGGTTGTCTTTCTACTTTCTGCTTTGGCTGACTTTCCCCTGCCTTTAGTAGCTGGTTTCACCTTCCCGCAGCTGTCTTCCCCATCCTCCTCGCTGCTGCCACTCTGCCTTCTGCCACCAGCCCACTGGGTCCTGTCCTTGGTCACACGTTTCTTCCTAGTCCTGCCTTTGGACTCCTTTTCCTTATTCCCTTCCTCACTGCTCTCTTCTTTCCAGACCTTACATGTTCTATCAGAGCTCTCCTCCTCCGAGCTCTCCTTCACTGCCTCCTCCTCCTCTAATCCAGTCTTGTATGCAGTCGGGTCCCTCTGCTGTTCTTCCTCGTCGCTGCTCGCAATTGCTCTTTTTGAGGCCTGCTTTGGACTCTCCTCTGTGAGACTGACTGCCGCCCCCATCCCATTCTTTGCTGGATGGCTGAAGCAGTCTGGACTGGAGGCTGCAGCACTGGGCTCTGGAATGTGGAGAGAACAGAAGGTTGGGACAGGTTGTCTCAGACCCTGATTTGACAGATGAATGCAGAGACAACAGGAAACAGCCATCAGTCCACCGTGTTCCTGGTTCCTGGCGACCTCATCCAGTGCCTTGGGACATATTACATGCACAGTAAATACTTTCTGAATGAACCAACTATGCAGAAGGCACTAACCTGAATCTGAATTCAAACGGAACCTTTTTCTCTCTGGGTCATTGCAGGATGTGGGTGGCCTCTTTGTCTTCTTGGCAAGGTTTAGTCCTTCTCTGGCACCCGCTTCATCCACCTGTTTGTGCATCAAGAGGGCAAAACGTATCGAGGTGATGCTCTGCCACACCCCTTCTCGGCCCCTACTCCGCAACAAGCCCTCCTCCCGTGGAGGGGGTTCCGCCCACACCTGCATCTTCAGCAGTTCCTCCTCCACGAGCCGCTTCAGTGCCTGCTTCTCCTTGGGACTCAGGTGGTCGCTGCCGGTGTGAGCCAAGAACTTCCGCCGCACGATGGAGTGGGTGAGCGTGCTGCGGAGAGAGATGTCAAGGGGGAGTCCCCGGCCGGCCACGCCCTTTTCCACCCCAACCCCGACCTCCAGTGCACCTGAGGTCCGGACGGCCTCGGAAGAAGCTACGGGTAAACTCCCGCATCTCGTTCTCCCGCGCCATTTTGCTCGATTGGGATTGGTGGCCCCAGCCCTTTTTCCTCTCGGCCTCCGTTAGCGCGTTTGACAGGAACGTGCGCACGCGCAGTGCAGTGGCGTTGTAAGGCGAGGGACCGTTGGGTGTCGGTTGCAGGGCGCTTGGGCTGGTTTCCCGGCAGTTGGAGGGTCTCGCGGCTCCTCCCCCTACCTTTTTTTTTTTTTTTTTTTTTTTTTTTTTTTTTTTTTTTAGAATCGATCGTTTTTTAAAAATTCTCGATAGAAACCTTCGGCGGGGCAACCTTTGGGTGTACGTAATCAATCCGCGACGCCTCCGTCCGTGGTCTCGGGCAAGCTAGGCCGCTGTGACTTAGAAAGACTGAAGGGACATCTCTCCTGGAAACTAGGACTCCTCGGGGGAAGAGACTTGTGCCTTCCAATCTCTGAGCACATGTAGAAACAGTAAGGGCGAACCTCCAGCGTCCGCCATCTTTGTGACATCATCAAGTCGCGGCGACACCAGCGTGGGCGTTAACGTAGTCCCTGGAAGCAGAGTTCCTTTCCGGTATTCCCTGGGAGGGCCACTGGGTGGTAACGAAAGCTGGGCGCGGGGCACGCCGGGAGTTGTAGTCCCCGCAGGCACCGTTTCCTTAGTCTCCGGAAGCGGAGGTTTGGGGCGGGGCTGAGCTGTTAGGGTAGCCGGACTTCAGTGTCCGGGCGCCGCTCGCGGGGCCGGTCATGAACGGGCCGGCGGACGGCGAAGTGGACTACAAGAAGAAATACCGAAACCTGAAACGGAAGCTCAAGTTCCTCATCTACGTGAGTGATGGGGCGAGGAGGTGGGGGGTGAGGCCTGTCGCCGGCAGGACCGCAGCTCACCCACGAGTAAATGGAGTGGGCTGAGCTGTCGCCAGGTTCCGGGCCCCTTTGCGGGCCACCGCCGGCTCAGCGCGCACCTTGACTGTGATACAGGAACACGAGTGCTTTCAGGAGGAGCTGAGGAAGGCACAGAGGAAGCTGCTGAAGGTGTCCCGGGACAAGAGGTGAGACACGCCGGGCGGGAGAAGGGAGCGCTGCGGGTGATGAGGTCCCTGTGGATGTGCATATTCGGACCCAGTTACAGGAATAGGGTCACACGTGCATGGTGCCTGCCTTGGGGCTGCTGCTAGGTTCCAGCGGACCAGCTAGAGGGGCCAGGGCCAGGACCACATTGCTGAGTAGCAGTAAACACTCTTGTTCTCCCCGCCTCTTTCCTCAGTTTCCTCCTAGACCGGCTCTTGCAGTACGAGAACGTGGATGAAGACTCTTCGGGTGAGCATGAGTGATAGGTGGAGGGAGGACTGGTTCCTGGCACTTGAGCAAGCTAACTGGGCCCCTCCTTTTAGGCTGCGGAGGTGATACAGCTGCCAGTGGTTCTTAAGCCTAGCTGCTTGCCCTCCACCTCTGCTCTTCCTCCCCTCAGGCATTTACTGAACATCTGTGTTTTAGGCACTGTGTTTGGAGATACTGTGGTGACAAGATGGATAATAAGTAAGCAAGAAATGAGAATGTTAGATTTGATAGGAATAAGGTCAGGCTAGAGCAAGGATGATAAACTTTTTCTGTAAAGGACCGATGAAATATTTTAAGCTTTGCACAACATACAGTGTTTGTCATAGCTTCTTAATTCTGCTGTTGCAGTGCAAAAGCAGCCGAAGGTGTTATATATACATAAATGAGCATGTCTGTGTTTCAGTAAAACTTTATGGACAATGAAATTTGAATTGCATATAAAATATTTTTTGTCCCTTCATTCCCAACCATTTAAAAATATAAAAGCCGTTCTTGGTTTACAGACCATTTAAAAGCAGGTGATGTCTCAACAGTGTGTCCAAGAAAGGCCCTTTTTAGAAGTACTGTTGGAGCTAGAAAGAAGAAGAAAAACAACAATGTTAGAAGGTATGAATGAGAGGTTTCCAGGCAGAGAGAGTAACAAAATGCAAATACTTTGAGGTAACAGAAGAGTCTGAAGAGTGGCTAAAGCATATAAAGCCGTGTTTTCAATTTATTTATTTTTTAATATATTTTTATTGACTTCAGAGAGGAAGGAAGAGGGAGAGGGATGCAAACATTCATGATAGAGAATCATGGATCGGCTGCCTCCTGCAAGTCCCCCACTGGGGTTCAAGCCCACAACCTGGGCATGTGCCCTTAACCGGAATTAAACCTGGAACCTTTCAGTCCGCAGGCCAATGCTCTGTCTACTGAGCCAAACCAGCTAGGGCTGTTTTCAAACTTTTTAATTTTTTTTTAAAATATATTTTTATTGATTTTTCACAGAGAAGAAGAGAGAGGGATAGAGAGCTAGAAACGTCGATGAGAGAGAATCATCGACCAGCTGCCTCTTGCACACCCCCTACTGGGGATGTGCCCGCAACCAAGGTACATGCCCTTGACCGGAATCGAACCCGGGACCTTTCAGTCCGCAGACCGACGCTCTACCACTGAGCCAAACCGGTGCCGGCTCTTTTCAAACTTTTTAAAACACTATTTACAATCAGCAATATATTTTACATCATGAATAAGTCTCTACTTAAATACTTATCAAACAAAATTTAATGAAACTGTTAAGATCACTATACACATTTTTAAATATATATATTTTATTGATTTTTTACATAGAGGAAGGGAGAGGGATAGAGAGCTAGAAACATCGATGAGAGAGAGACATCAATCAGCTGCCTCTTGTATACCCCCTACCGGGGATGTGCTCCCAACCAGGGTACATGCCCTTGACCGGAATCGAACCCGGGACCTTTCAGTCCGCAGGCCAACGCTCCATCCACTGAGCCAAACTGGTTTCAGCACTATACACATTTTTTTCTGACACTTTTTAGACTTTTTTTTTTTTCACTGAATGCTGATTGCAAACAAATAAAATGACTTCATGACCTACTAATGAGTTGGGACCCACAGTTTGAAAAGCCCTAGAGTGGCATTTGTGCCTCTGTTCCAGGATGGGGCCCTTGGAAGCCATGTCACGAACAATCACCTCTCTCTGTGGCCCCTTTAAACATTGGTCTGGAGCAGGGTCAGCAGATGACATTCAGCCAGACTGCTTGTTTTTGTAAAAATTTGATTGGAACACACACCACCACTCATCTACATATTATAGGAGGACAGCAGATGATAAATGAGGTCAGAGCAGAAGGTAGAAGCCAGCTCATCTAGGTCATGGCAAAAACATTTGGCTTTTATTCTGGCTTCTCTTTGCCTTCTGTTCCTTCCCTCAGGTATTCCAACTAACTTCTGACCAAGGGGAGTTTCAGGGTAGGAAGCCAGAAAGCCAGCATGTTCATGGTCAGAGTGATAAATCTGAAGAGCAGGAGCTGCACACACAAGCCCCGCTTGTACTCTGGAGAACCCCACAGTCTGGTCGGGGAATGTCCACACGTGACACAGTTAGCACAGTGTAAGGAGAACCATGACGTGTGAGAGGAGAGTTCTGGAACAGCAGTGATTAGCTGGGCCTGAGGATTTTGGAAGACTTCTCAGAGAGGTGCCATTCAATCACACTTTTTCAGTTACAGTTGACATACAATATTGTATTAGTTTCAGGTGTACAATAGTGATCAGACATATTAATTTGCTTCTTAAAGGATATGTCTCAGCCAAGAAATTGAGAAACGCACATTACATGTAGCAGTTGTTTGTCAAATGAGTGATGGACCTTGTAGGTAGAAGCACAGACTGGGAAGTAAGCGTTGTTTTGTTTTTAATATGTTTTATTGATTTTTTACAGAGAGGAAGGGAGTAAGAGGGATAGGTAGTTAGAAACATCGATGAGAGAGAAACATCGATCAGCTGCCTTCTACACACCCCCTACTGGGGATATGCCCACAACCAAGGTACATGCCCTTGATCGGAATCGAACCCGGGACCTCTCAGTCCGCAGGCAGACGCTCTATCCACTGAGCCAAACCGGTTTGGGCTAAGCGTTGTTTTTTTTATCAAATTGGCTGGCATGATGTGAAGAGTGTAGTTTGGTTGGGAGCTCAGGAAGGCAGGTTGAGGCCACAGTAAGCATTTCAGATGTGATCAGGACTTGGGTGGTTCTGGATTGGAGTGGCCAGTGTGCTGCAGGAGAGGTGGGACTGCCTGCTCAGGTGGCTTTGACACAGGGCAGTGGCTTCATCTTGTGGCGGTTGGGATGGGGAGTGGGTGAAGACGGGAGAAATTTGAGAGATGGGTTAGCAGGACCCTGGATCGTAGGAAGTGGAGCAGAGGCGGGAGCTGAAAGCAGCTTAGAGGTGAATAAGGAAAGAGTGGCGGAAGTTAGCCAGGGAGTCAGAGACCAGGGTTCGAGTTCAGCCCCACACCTCACTCTTGACCTCAGTGACCTCATCTGGAAAGTGGGGGTGAGGCCCTCACCTTCCTTTGGATGGTTGAAGACAAGGGGGGCTGGGGGGCGGTGAATGCAAGGTGCCTGGTCAGGGTCTGGCAGGAGGAAGTGCTTGACAGGTGTTGCCATGGAGGAGCCGGCAGGACGTGTGTGTGGAAGTCAGTCGTAAAGGACTTCGTAAGACGTAGAATCTCTGGGCTCCCCGAATAGCACATGCACCAGCTGGAGAGTCCGCTTCCCTGCAGCCCTTCCACAGAGTCGAGGTTATACCTCTGGGGTGGACAGGAACCCTCCCCACTGACCAGCTCTCCCCCTCCCAGACTCAGATGCCACTGCGTCTTCAGATAACAGTGAGACAGAGGGGACACCCAAGTTGTCGGACACGCCAGCCCCCAAGAGGTGAGAAGAAGCCATCAGTCGGGGGGGGGGGGGGGGGCGGGCAGCTGGGCCTCCCAGCTCCCTCTGACCCCTCCCTTTCCTTTCTCCAGGAGAAGAAGCCCTCCGGTGGGGGGTGCCCCCTCCCCCTCCAGCCTCTCTCTGCCTCCTTCCACAGGGTTTCCCCTGCAGGCCTCCGGGGCCCCCTCCCCATACCTGAGCTCGGTGAGTGGGGCTCAGGGATGGGAAATGGTAACTGAGATGCCTGGGAGGGAGGTGGGATCATCTGGGTAGAGGGGCCGGGCCTCGGGGTGAAACTGGCCCAGCTCTGGGACATCCCTTGGAGGGGTGTGAGTCCTGGCTGCCTGGTTCTCGCTGGTAGGAATGGGGGGCAGATATGACTGAGGAGAGCAGACCCCAGGACAAAGTCCTGCTGCTGTCCCATCCCCTTCTGCTCTCAGAAGCCACACTCATCATCATCTCTTGTTTTTCCATTCTTCTTCCTGTTTGCATTTTTTCCCTTCACCCCCCACCCATCCATTCCATTTCCCATCTCCATCCCCCACTCCCACCTGCAGCTGGCTTCTCCCCCCTACCCCCCCTTCCCTTCTGACTACCTGGCCCTGCAGCTGCCCGAGCCCAGCCCCCTGAGGCCCAAGCGGGAGAAACGGCCCCGCCTGCCCCGGAAACTCAAGGTACCCAGTTCGGGGATGTTAGGGAGGGGCCAGAATGGCACAGGAGAGCCATTTGAGGGAGGCTCAGGACAGAGACTGGGGGCCTGTTCAAGAATTTGAAGGACTTATTGGGGGCTGCTAGGGGCCCAACCCACGGCCAAGTACTGAGAGACATGGATCAGAGAAATCCTGGCTCACAGGCTCGCTGTGGAGACAAATTGGGGGTAGGACCAGCCTTGGGGGACTCAGGGTAAAGATGCTAGGGTCCTGCCCTTAGTCTGCTGTGGTGACTGGGGCCAGGCCTCTGTGATGCCCGGCAGCCCGGAGGGAGGGAGAGAGGGGTTGTGGGATCTAGAATCAAGCAAGGCTGCACCCCTTGAAACCATGGGACCTTGAGCAGGGTCTTCCACCCTCCAAGTCTCAGACTCTGTGTCTGAAAGTGAGCAATCAGAATACATGTAATCAGCAGGTGTTACCGAGTGGCCGCTGCGCACCAGGCACTGCTCGGTGCTGCAGATGAAGTGGTGAGCAAAACAAACCTCTGCCTGCAGGAGCTCGTATTTTAGCAGAACAGGCAGAAAATAAAATTAATAGGTGTCCGTGCAGAACAGTGGAGCCAGGTGAAGAGGAGGGGAGCAGCAGACTAGATGGGCACTCCTGTGGTCTGGGATGGTATTTGGCAGAGACTTCACCGAAATGAGAGAAGCCATGCAGCTCTCTGGCAAAGTGTTCCAATCAGAAGACCAACCAGTGCAGAGGCTAACCAGTGGGGTAGCAGAGTGTGTGCATATTTGGCTGTTCAAGCACCAGGAAGGAGTCAGTGTGATCAGATGAAAGCGAGAGGAGAGAATGCTCAGGGAGCAGGTCAGGGAAATAGCGGTAAATTGTGTAAGGCCTTGCAGGTGTGTAAAGGCTGTGAATGAATAGGGAGTCTTTGGAGAGATTGGGCAGAGGAGAATCTGATCTGATTTACATGGTAACAAGATTGCTGGCACTGCTGTGTGGAGAATAGATTGGGGAGGGGAAGGGGAGAGGGAGAGAATCTGGTCAGGATGGAATGGGGAGACCAGTGCGGAGGCCGCTGCAGTGAACCAGATAGCAGTGGGGAGGGTCTGTTGCAGAGAATGAGCCACGGGAAGACCAGATTGGCTGTGAGAAAGAAGCCAGGGCGGAGAGACGCCGGGTGTGGTTTTGGACGTGTTGAGACTCTGTCTGGAAATGCCAGCAGACAACTGGGTGATGAGCCTGGGCTCACGGGGTGATGCCCGGAAAGCATCAGCATGGAAGTGGATGCGATCGGCAGTGAGCCTGTGGGTGGAGGAGAGGAGAGGCCTGCGCACTGAGCTCCAGGAGACGTGACACAGGAGGCGGTGCGTCCAGCGCTGAGTCAGAGTGGAAGAGGTACAGGCTGGAGCCAAGGTGCAGACATTCAGGAGAGAGAATTCGGTTGGGAGAGAGGCCCAGATCAGTGGCTGTGCTTGGGGAAGGGGATAATTCAGGGAAGGCCCCAAAGAAGAGGTAGCACTTGAGCCCAGGGTAAGAGAGATTGGGTATTACAGGCTGAGGCGCTGGTGGAAGGAAGACAAAGGACATGGCCACGGGTTGTTTGGGCAAGAGCAGGAGGATGAGAGGAACAGTGTTGGGAAAAACTAGGATTGGGGGGACATGTGGGGGTCATAGAAGGCCTGAGGCCCAGGGTCTGGCGGGTCCGCGAAGGGAGTGGGGGTCGCTGGCTTCTGAGTGACGTGGCGTGAGGAGGGGAAGCAGGCCAGTTAAGAGCCTGGGCTTCAGTCAGACTCGGCTGGGTTTGAATCCCAGCTCCTCCCTGTGACCTTGGGCATGTCATTGACCTCTCCGAGCTTCAGCTTCTCATGAGGTCATTGGGTCTGTCAGTTAACAGGAGTTAAGTGCCTGGTCCCTGGTAAGCCACAGGTGAACGGTAGCCGCTGCTGGTCCCCTGAGGAGGCCGCTGAGTGAGTCTAAGCAGGGTGCGGAAGTGGGAACTGAGCGGGGCTCAGGAGCAGTGGCCAGAGGCGCGGACAGTCCTCAGGCCGCTGTGTTTTTCAGCCATTGTCCGCTCCTATGTGTGCACATGGGAGCCTGGTACTGGACACAGGGTGCTGGGCCTCCTGTCACCAGTCCTGGCTGTCACTGAGGTGCTGACCCCGATTAAAAACCCGCTCTGGCCCTCCACAGCGGGGAGGGCAGCCGTGAGGCTGAGGGGTTAACACAGTGAGAAGGGCCGCTGTGAAGACCACACGTAAGCATTCGCTGCCACCCCGCCCAGACAGGTGGGCATTGCCCGATGGGGCCCTGGCAGCTGTTTTCTCCTCTGGCCGTGACCTCCGCCCTTGCAGGTGACCAGAATGGTCAGAGAGCATTCATGGGAGTCACTGTCAGCATGTGCCCAGCATGTGCTCAGGCGAGGCGTGAGGCCCCGGAGCGCTCTGGGGAAGGTGTAAGGACCTAGCAGGATGGGCTGGCGGGTGGGGCAGGACGAGGCCACTTCCCAGCCTCAGAGGACACAGAGGACTTTGACAATTAGAGAGGACACTGCAGGTGGAAGGACCGCTCGCCGTCTCAGGCACGCAGCACTGCCCGTCCTGCGGGCAGCAAGGAGCCTGAGGCCGCCCGTGGAGGAGTGACACGTGCAGGTCTGTGTTGTAGAGAGCTCGCTCTGGCTGCAGTGCGGAGGAGGAGCTGGAGCTGGGAGAGGCTGGAGGCAGGGAGTCCAGTTAGGAGGCTGGTTCCGTAGCCCAGGTGAGCTGAGAGGAGGGCCTGGCCTGGGCCAGTGGCTGCGGGATCCCACGGAGGGGCCGTCCCAGATATGAGGCCTCACGTAGCGGGGTGCAGACCTAGGACACCCCTCCCACCGAACCAGCGAGCCCCCTTAGGAGGAGAGAGGCCAGTGGTGGCCGGTGGAATCCAGTGCCTAGAGGCAGGCAGGCGGGTCCAGGCTGTGCTGCTGTCCCTCACAGGAGCTGCCCAGGTGCCTCCCGGTGAGGCCGGGCCCAGCTCTCCCTCCTGGTTTCCTGTAAGCCCCACCCGCCTTCATCACTGCCTCCATCACTGCCACCCTCTACCCCCAGGCACCTGCTAGTTTGAGACTGAAGTGGCTACCGGTAGGGCAGGCCCCTGATTCCAGCATGGCTGGCCTGGCTGCGTCCAACACCCCTTGAATGAGCCTCTGCCCCTCCCCACCCCCAGAACTGCCTCCTGGAGGTCCCATTCCTTCCTGACGGCCCGCCCTGTGTTTCTTCCCCCCTGCTGCAGATGGCGGTGGGACCCCCTGACTGCCCTGTGGGAGGGCCGCTGACCTTTCCCAGCCGGGGTTCTGGGGCTGGGGTGGGGGCAGCCCTGGCCCCACTGCCTCCCCCTAAGATGCCCCCCCCCACGATCCTGAGCGCAGTCCCTCGGCAGATGTTCAGCGATGCAGGCAGCGGGGACGATGCCCTGGATGGAGACGATGACCTGGTGATCGACATCCCGGAGTGAGCCCTCTGCCCGAGCCCCTGCCCGCCCCTGTGCCAGCACACGAGCCCCAGCTTCCACAGAGACATTTATTGACGCCCAGTGCCATGCTGCGGCCACTGACACGATCAGAACAGGCGTAAACATGCACACGTGTCCCCTGGAAGGAGGGCCCTCGCCGGGGAGGGCAGGAGCTGCCCTCACTCCCCGGCCCCGGCCTGGGGACAGTGGTGGGATGAGTGGCTGGAACATCTGCACCCCGGGGAGGCCGAGACCCCGCGGGGCCTCCCTCCCGTCTAAAAGGGCAGCTGTACAGGGCTAGACGTTCTTAACGAAGGTTCTGTATTAAAGGAGTGGCTCTTTTTTGCTTTTTGTCCTTTTCTTTTTTGGAAACGTCTCCTCTTTCGAACCCCCCCAATCCGACCTCCTCCCCGTGCGGAGGGGCCGGGCGGCCGGGAGCGGCCGGGAGAAGCAGCAGCTGGGCCCGGCAGGCCCGGCAGGACGCTCCCTGCCGGTGTGCACAGGACGGGGGTTTGCATATCTGCATGTGGTAGCGAGTCAGGCAGGAGGAGGTTTGCATATGTGAGTACAGGTCTCCACAGTCCCCACAGGAAGACGGACCACGGTCACAGTCTCACGACATAAGACAGGTAGTGCAGGGCGGGCGGCATCCACCCCTGTAAACGTGCAACACACTCGTGCGAAGGTTGGTACGGACCCAGCCCTAGCCTGAGCTGGGCAGCTGCTCGCCTCGCTCAGGCTGAGGACAGAGCCCCCGCGGCAGGGGGCAGCTCGCTGGTCAGGGTGTGCCAGCGCTCCAGGGCCGTGTCCGGCTGCTGCAGGCAGTCGTTCCAGTGCTTCCGGGCTTCTCCCCGGGCACCAGCCCCCAGGGACACGCCACCTGGGGAGCAGGAGAGGCAAAGTCAGGGCCCTGCTCGCCGCCACTCTGCCCGCCCGCCCGCCCTCCCTCCCTCGGCACCACCCAGCGGGCTCCTCCCTCACCAATGAAGTCGTTGGATTTGCCAATGTCATAGTCCCAGACGGTGACTTCCAGAGTCTTGGTGGCCAGAGCTGAGAGTTCCATCTCATAGAAAAACTCCTGGGACAGGGCAAGCCACACCTTCCATGAGGCATTGCCTGCCCCCCTACCTGCCCGCCCCCCCCCCTTGTTGATGTCTGATCCCTTCCCCATTCACCTCATTAAATTCTGGGTTGAGAGTCTTCTTCTTCACGCCTGTTTTGTGCTTGGATTTCTTATCCACGTCTGGCCTCAGGTACCTGCCAAGGCGGTGGGGCAGGGGCAGAGGAGCAGGGTGGTCAGGGATCGGCCGGAGAGGGACAGGGCAGAGGTCAGGCTCCCTGGGGACGGGGGGAGGGAGGGAAGGGGGACCTCGGCAGGGGGGGCTCACGTCTTGACGTAGGGGTCAGAGTAGCCGTTGACGTCCATGGCGGCCAGGTGGGCGCAGCGCAGGATGCCCACCAGCAGCCCCCGGCGCGGAGAGCTGTAGCTGAGGCTCAGCAGGATGCGCCCTCGCTCCTCCAGCAGCCCAGGCCCCTGCTCCGCCTGCTCCAGCTGGGGGCAGACACAGGGCTCAGCCTGCACCCTCAGCTCCTCCCGCCCGGACCCGTGCCCAGGAGGTGCCTCACCTCCTTCAGGTAACAGGATATGCCCCTCAGCGCTGCCGACATGGAAGAGGGTGACGCCAGCTGAGGGCAGAGAGAAGGTTCTGGAAACCTGGCCTCCCCAGGACCCCCTCCCCTCAGCGCTCTGCAGCCCCCTACGGACCGGGACCTGGCGCTCGAGGCAGATATTAAAATGCTTCTTCTGCGAAGGCTTGAGGCGGCGGAGGGGTACTCGGATCTCCCCGATGAACTCGTTGTGGCTCAGCTTGTCCTCATCGCACACGGAGATCCTGCAGGGAAACCGAGGTCAGTGCCCCCGGCTCCTGGGCCCACTCCAGGGAGCCTGGGCACCCGAGCAGGTCCTGCTCTGCCTCCAGTGCTCCACACCTCATCTGTAAAGTGGGCTGGCCCCTGTTCCTCTCCCCTCCCTCCACACTGCCCAGACTGTCCTGACCCATCAGGATCTGCTCAGCGACTTCCAGAAGCCTTCACGGGTCTTGGGGACCCTCCCGATCCCTGCCTCTGGCCTGTGGACAGGGTCCTGCTGAACGTGCGTAGGGTGTGCACTGGTGGGTGTGGTCACCAGTTCCGGATGTGAGAGGAGCCTGGGCAGTTGGACAAGGCAGCCCTCCCCGGAGCTCCTGCCCTGGGCTGCATGGAGCGGGAGCGGGCTGGGAGAGACTGTGGGACCAGAGATAATCCGTGTTTTCACTTCTGTTGTCTCCTCCCTCAGCCCCTGCACTTGCTTCTGCTGTGACACGTGGGTAGCTGTCATGTAGGAATGGTCATTCCCAGCTCTGCCACTTACTAGCAGCCGCATGAGTCTGGACAAGTCAACCTCCTGACGTCTCAGTTCTCATCTGTAAAACGAAGCTGATACCCACCCACCTCCCAAAGCCACTACAGGGTCAAGGGAAACGAAGAAACGTAAACAGGCACGGCCCAGGCTGGACGCCACGGGGCAGCCAGAGCGATGTAGTCCTCATTCTCTAGCATCTGAAATATGGGCCTGCCTTTCTGGTCCTGCCTCTGCCCTCCCTCCAGTCACCTCACACACAGCATCAAGGTGATCTCCCAACACAGCCCTGCCCGGCCGGCAGGCTCAGTGGTAGAGCATCAACCTATGAACCAGGAGGTCCCGGTTCAATTCCTGGTCAGGGCGCATGCCCGGGTTGTGGGCTTCATCTCCAGTAGGGGGCGTGCAGGAGGCAGCCAATCAATGATTCTCTCTCTCTCTCTCTCTCTCTCTCTCTCTCTCTCTCTCTCTCATTGATATTTCTATCCCTCTCTTTTCTCTCTGAAGTAAATAAAAATAATAAATTGATAAACACCTAAAAAATTTTTTTAAATAAAACACAGCCCTTGACTATGCCCCTGCCCTGATGCAAACTCTGTCATGACTCCCTATTGCCCAAGAATAAAGGAAAGTTCTAGAAGCCTGGGTTTGCTGCCCTTGGTTCCTGTCAGGGACTGCTCTCCCCATAACACCTCGGGGGTGACTGGGCAAGTTTCCTGTCCCTTAGGACTTCATTCCTTAGAGGCGGAGGGGCAGAGCCACAGGATGGCAGACCTGCACGGGCCTGGCCTGCCGGGACCAGGGAGCGTGCTCGGGGGGAGGCAGGGCCTCTGAGGAGTGGAGGTCAGGGTTGCGGGAAGAGAAGCGGAAGCAGGGAGCACTCTCCCGGCAGAAGAGGCCAGAGGGGAAGGATAAGTAATGGCGGGGATCAGAGAGGGCGGTGCTGAAGGCAGCAGGAGGCATTTGGGGTGGCCTGCTGCCGAAGGGGATGGGGCGCCTCTGATTGTACCTGAGCAGCTGAGAGGGGCTTCGTGGGAAGTAAACCAGCCATGGAAGGTTCCAGTGCCGGCCATCCCGGGGGGTGGGGGTGGGGGGTGCGGAGCCGGAACCTTTGGGAGCAGGAGGGGCCTCACCTGAGCACCTTGTGGCTGATGTCCTCGTCCGTGATGCCGCTGTAGGTCAGGTCCTCGTTCCACACGGGGTTCAGAGTGTTCCTCTGCGTCTTGGTTTTCAGCTTATTGGCCTGCAGTGGGGGCGAAGGGTTCTCAGCGCATGTCCCCTGGACCCACAGGCTGAAAGCAGGGGGAGGCTGGGGGCAGGCCCCGAGGCTGCGTCACACGGGGGGGAGGGGCTATTACCTTGCAGGCTCCAGGCAGCAGGTGCACCTTGACGTAGGGGTCGGCCAGGCCATTGAAATCCATGGGCTTGAGGCCCTGGCGAGGAGGGAAGGACGGAGCAGTGAGCTCCCTGCCCTCCCTCAGCAGAGTGGGTCCTTGGGGTGTGGAGAGCCGGGGAGAAGGGGACTTGGGTGGGGGCGTGGGGAGGGGAGCGGGGGTGTGGCCTGGGGTGGGGGGGGCAAACAGGGTTGAGCTCGGGAGGGGCTGCCCACCTTGGCCCTGAGGATACTGCAGTGCAGCGTGCAGGCGGCCTGGTCGTAGAGAAGGTCGAACTCCAGCGTGCCCAGCGTGGCTGGCGGAGAGAGCGGTGGGTCCGCGGGGAAGGCGGGTGTGTGAGCGGCGGCGGCCGGCTGTGTGTGGCTGGGAAGGTGCGTGCGTGTCAGCCTGCCAGCCTGTGTTGGGTTCCTGGTTCGGCTGCAACTGGGCTGTGTGGGTGTTTGTCTCAGGAGAAATATTGAATATTGAGCCTTGCTGAAGCTGTAATCGCCACACTGACTGCAGCTGTAGTGGCTGCGCCCACTGCCTCCCCCACATACACCCCGAGGGGCCCCATCCCCTTCCCACAGGCCCCGGGCCCCCAGGACCCCCCTGGGCCCTTGGAGCCCCAGACTCACTGGCATCATCCGAGTCGTAGCTGTCCACCTCGGCCCCGTCCTCGGGCGTGGTGGCCCCGAGGAGGGCTGCAGGGGGGGCCAGGGCCAGGGGGGCCAGCCGGGGAGGAGCCTCCGCGAAGCCCCCTCCGCCCCCGCCCCCTTCAGGCCCCGGCCCCCGGCGGGGGAAGTAGTCGGAGATCTGGCGGATGGGCCGGATGGGCCCGGGGCACACGTTGATGGCCATGTGCTCCTGGATGTTGATGGTCATGCGATCGCCCCTGCGGCCCCTCATGCAGCGCCGTGTCTGGGGGAGGGAGGGAGGGTCCAGCTGAGCCCCGTCCTGTACCTGTGGCTGCTGCTGCGGGCCAGCAGCGCCTCCCGGCGTGGCCCCCCTCTGGGTGTGGAGGGAGGCCAGCTGGGCCCTTGCTCCACAGGCGGCTGCTAATGCCTCCCCCAAAGTCCGGGCCCCCCTCAGCCTTGGCCACTCACCGCGGCCCCTTTGTCATCTTCCAGCTCCTGCCCCTCGATCCGGCCTCCGTCAGCCCCTGGGCCTGCCTGCTCCCCGGAGCCACCCCTGGCCCCCTCTGTCTCCGGGCTCTGCCCATCCCTCTGCAG